AGCTCTTCAGTCAAGGCTAGCGCTCTACCACTTGAGCCACAGCGCCACTTCCGGCTTTTATCTTTTTGCTTATGTGGTGCTGAGAAATCGAACCCAGGGCCTCATGCACGGGAGGCGAGCGCTCTACCACTGAGCCACCTTCCCGGCCCTAAAATAATTTTTTAAAAGAATTAACGGTCGGGCACCGGTGGCTCCCGCCAGCCATCCCAGCTACTCAGGAGGCTGAGATCTGAGGATCGCGGTTCAAAGCCAGCTGGGCGGGACGTCCTGGAGACTCTGATCTCCAGTGCACCGCCACACGCCCTGAAGCGAAGCTGCGGCTCCAGCGGTGGAGCGCCAGACTTGCACCAAGTCCAAGGGGTGGAGCGCGGCCAGGCCTGCGGAGCCTTCCAGGGCCCCAGCCCCGAGGCCCTGCTCCTCACGCACCCGCCCCTGCTCTTCACAGACGCGCTGCAGCCCGAGCTGCTGGAGACGCAGCGGCTGCTGCGCGCGCTCGGCGTGGACGCGGCGGTGGGGGAGGCGCCGGTGCTGGGGCTGCTGAGCGAGCTGCGCACGGCCTCGCGCGAGAAGGACGCACAGCTCCGCAGGTAACGCCCGCCGCGCTGACCCTCCCTGCCCCGCCGCGCCCCCCGCCCCGGGAACCCCACGCAGCTCCCAGCCACAGAGCCCCCGAGCAGCCAGCTGGGGCGACGGCCGCCCTGTGCTGGGGGAGTCGTGGCGATGAGCTGTGACCCTGGCCCGGGGTCCTCTTCCACCAAGGTCCCGCCGCGCCCCGACTGCTCTTGGCTGTGCTGTGAGCTGTGCGCCAGCGCGGGTGCCCACGGTCAGGACTTGAACTCTGGGCCTGGGCCCTCACAGGCTGGCGCTGGCCACTGGAGCCACTGCTCCCAGGATGTTCATCCTTTTTTGCTCCCGAGTAGGATTGTTTTTCACTCCTGTCTGGAGGAAGATCTTCCTCTCCTCGTTTTCTTTTTCTCCCTTTGTCCTAATTGGGGCCTGGCGCTGTCCTGAGCTTTTGCTTTTCGCTGGTCAAGGTGGTGTCTTACCGCTTGAGCCACAGCTCCATCTCCCACTTTGGGGGGCTCGCTGGAGACAGTCTCACGGGCCTTGCTGCCCGCAGCTGACCTCAAAGCATGATCCTCATAACTCAGCCTCCCGAGTAGCAGGGTGCCTGGCTTGAAGAACCGCAATCCTCCGGATGCAGCGGGCAGTGAGGATCCAGGGTTTGGGTGTTCACTGACACACAAGCACACCCAGAAAGACGTGGGGGGCCGCCTGGCCTGGCCAGCCCTGTCCAGTGCCGGCCTCCCCCCCCCCCCCCCGCCCCCGGGCTGAGCCTCGTCTCCCCCGCAGGTTCTTCTGGCAGGTGCTGGAGCTGGACGCGGAGGCCAGCCATGAGGCCGCGCTGCGGAGCCAGCAGCTGTGGGAGGAGGCCGTGGGCCCGGCCTGCGGCCGCTGGTACTTCGGCACCGACGGTGGCCCCGCCGAGCCGGTGGGCATCGCGCCGCCCGCGGGCCGGGCCCACGAGCGCCGCCCGTGACGCCCGCGGCTGCGCTTTTTCCGGGGACGACTCGGCGGCCTCGGGGGGCCGGGTGCGGTGGTGCGGGCGCAGGTGGTGCGGGGCGCAGGTGGCGCGGGGCGCAGTGGCGGTTACCTTCGTGATGGACACGTGGATTAAAGGGCGGCGCGGGCGCTGCGCCCCGCGAGTGCGGAGAGCGGAGAGCGCGGCCTCCGGTGTGGCTTCCGCGACGCGGGACGGGGGGGGACACGGGACGGGGGGGACAGGGGAGGGGGGGGTCGCGGGACGGGGGGGGACGGGGGGGACGCGGGACGGGGGGACGGGGGAGGGACGCGGGACGGGGGGATGCGGGACGGGGGGGACGGGGGGACGGGGGGGACGCGGGAGGGGGGGGACGGGGGGGACGGAGGGGGGGACGCGGGACGGGGGGGACGCGGGACGGGGGGACGCGGGACGGGGGGGACGGAGGGGGGGACGCGGGACAGGGGAGGACGCGGGACGGGGGGGACGCGGGACGGGGGGGACGCGGGACGGGGGGGACGGAGGGGGGGGACGCGGGACGGGGGGGACGGAGGGGGGACGCGGGACGGGGGGGGACGCGGGACGGGGGGGGGGGGGGGAGTCAGAAACTGACTTGAGGCTGCCTGGTGTGAGAAAGTTCCAGAATGCCAGGGTAGCCGTGGGCGGGCCCCGTTCGCGGGGCGTTTCCACCCGGGTGCGGGGTCAGGGCCCGCGGGGACGCGGCGCGGGGGAGTCGCGGGCGGCCCGGAGCGGCAGGCAGCGCGCAGCGCAGCCGGCGAAGGCGAAGGCGAAGGCGCTCCCGGGTCGGGGTCAGGTCCGGGCCGCCGCCAGGCTCCCGAGGCCGCAGGTCAGGGCCCGGAGCGCAGAGGCCCCTCCCCAGCTCCGGCCCGCACCCACCCCGCAGCGTCCCGCCGCAGCCGCTCCCACCCGCCACCCCCCCCAAGCCGGCCGCGGCCTCTGTCCGGCCCAGGAAGCATCTGGGGGCCACGGGGCCACTTGCTGCCACCCGCGCTCAGCTCGTGTCCGCGTCCCGGCTGCCCCGTGGGGCCAGGCCGCCCCCAGAAGGCCGGCGCCCACCACACACCCACACCCCGTGCTGGGGCACGCGAGGTGATGACGGGGGACGCCAGGGGACCCTCACGCCCTGCTCCTGGACCCCACGCGGGGGGGGGGGGGGGGGTTACATGAATTACTGCACCAGGAGCCACTGTAGAGATCAAACAGCCGGGCGTGGGCGCTCACACCTGTAATCCCAGCCCTGCAGTTAGAGGCAGGAGGCTCAGGAGTCCCAGACTCCCTGTTCCAAAGGGGGGGGGTGGTCAAGAGGGCAGAACACAAAGGCTCAGACATCTGAGCCTTCCGGGGGTTCGCGCCTGGCCCCAGTGGTCAGATAGGCAGAGTGCCAGCATCAGAAAGGTGAAGGTAGAGATGGGGTCACCTTGGGGTTGGGGTGAGCCAGCGGCCAGACACGCACGCACGCACGCACAGGAAGAAGTCTAGACGGATGTTCAGAGGTGCAGGGCGGGCAGGATGCCAGCCAGCCACTGTGGGGACCGAAAGGCAAGAGCCAGGCGCGGCGCTCACTGTTACTGCACACTTGGGAGGCTGAGAACGGGAGGATCGTGGTTCTGGCAGGGCAGAGAATTCGTGAGCCACCTCACCCCTGCAGCCCCAGCACAGTGCAAAGCCGATGTCTAGGCAGATGCCAGTTCAGATGCGCTGCTCAGCTGGGAGACAACAGCATCCCCATAACCAGTGCCAAACGGGGCTGAGCTGGGTTCTGGCGGGAGGCGGCGGAGATCCTGCCTGGCAAGCCCAAGACTCAGGTTCTATCCCGGCCGCCGGCTCTCCAGGCTCTCACAGGAGCACGCAAAGTGGGTCTGTGCAGCCGGGCCGGACGGGACCGGGAGCACTCACATGCCCAACGTGGCAGGGACTTTCACAGGGCTCAAAGTCTTTGTGTTTTTTTTAAGCTGGGCACCTGTTCACGCCTGTTCTCCTGGCTACTTGGGAGGCTGAGATCTGAGGATCACGATTCAAAGCCAGCCCAGGCAGGAAAGTCCGTGAGACTCTTCTCTCCAATAAACCACCAGAAAAACCAAAATGGCACTGTGGCTCGAGTGGTAGAGTGCACACCTTGAGCTGACGAGCTAAGGGACAGCGCCCAGGCCCCGAGTTCAAGACCCAGGACTGACAAAACCCTTTTCCCCCTCTATTCACTGTGCGGCGGTCAGGTCTTGAGCTGCTCCTGCCCTGCCTCCAGGTGCTGGGATTGCAGGACTCACAGCGCTCCGGGGGCCTGAACGCAGGGCCTGGGCGCTGCCCACGCCGAGTGCCTAATGGCTCCTGCAGACCCGCCCGCACAGGGCAGGGCCGGGCAGGGCAGCGCAGAGCCGGGCCGGGCCGGGCGGGGCAGCGCGGGGGTAGCGCAGGGCGGGCAGGGCAGGGCAGCGCAGGGCGGGCAGCGCAGGGCCGGGCCGGGCGGGGCAGCGCAGGGCGGGCAGGGCAGGGCGGGGCAGCGCAGGGCGGGGCAGGGCAGGGCGGGGCAGGCAGGGCGGGGCGGGGCAGGGCAGGGCAGGGCAGGCAGGGGAGTGCAGGGCAGGGCAGGCAGGGGAGCGCAGGGCAGGCAGGGCAGCGCAGGGCAGGGCAGGCAGGGGAGCGCAGGGCAGGCAGGGGAGCGCAGGGCAGGGCAGGGCGGGGCAGCGCAGGGCAGCGCAGGGCAGGGCAGGCAGGGGAGCGCAGGGCAGGCAGGGCAGCGCAGGGCAGGGCAGGCAGGGGAGCGCAGGGCAGGCAGGGGAGCGCAGGGCAGGGCAGGGCGGGGCAGCGCAGGGCAGCGCAGGGCAGGGCAGGCAGGGGAGCGCAGGGCAGGCAGGGCAGCGCAGGGCAGGGCAGGCAGGGGAGCGCAGGGCAGGCAGGGGAGCGCAGGGCAGGGCAGGGCGGGGCAGCGCAGGGCAGCGCAGGGCAGGGCAGGCAGGGGAGCGCAGGGCAGGGCAGGGCGGGGCAGCGCAGGGCGGGCAGGGCCGGGCAGGGCAGCGCAGAGCCGGGCCGGGCGGGGCAGCGCAGGGCAGGGCAGGGCAGGGCGGGGCAGTGCAGGGCGGGGCAGGGCGGGGCAGGGCGGGGCAGCGCAGGGCGGGGCAGGGCGGGGCAGCGCAGGGCGGGGCGGGGCAGGGCGGGGCGGGGGCGGGGCGGGGCAGGGCGGGGCGGGGCGGGGCGGGGCAGGGCGGGGCAGGGCAGGGCGGGGCAGGGCAGGGCGGGGCGGGGCGGGGCAGGGCAGGGCGGGGCAGGGCAGCGCAGGGCAGGGCAGGCAGGTGTTTGGCGCCAACGGGCACGCCTGCGGTACGGGGACGCGCGCGTGCGGGCCCGGCGCGGGGCCGGGGGAGACGCGGGGACCCGGGCCTGTAGTCAAGATTTATTTTTACCTTTAGTGTGCAAATAAATAGAAAAGGAAAACTACATTCAAAACGGCTGCGCGCGCATGCGGGGGGCTCGGTGGCGGCCCCCAAGGCGGAGGGCGGGGGCGAGGTCCACGCGGGGTCTCACCCCAGAAGCCGCGGGGCGTGGCCCACGTCTGGGCGCTAGGGGGCGTAAAGGAATAAATATGTGCGTTGGAGGATGTTTCTGGAAGGCCCTGGGCCCCGCCTCACGCCTGGGAGGGCTCAGGGCGAGGCCGGGCGGCGGCTGTACTGCACGCGGTACCGGGTCACCGGCAGCCCGTGCACCAGCGCCGTCTCGCACAGCGTCTTGCAGGGCACCATGTCCTCGTCCTCCTCGCCCATGAGCCAGTCCTGCACCAGGCCGGCCGCCTCGGCCGTCACGTGCTGCTCCAGCCAGCGCCCGTGCCAGCGCGCGAAGTGCCGGTGGTGCCGCCGCAGCACCAGGGGCTGCACCTGCGGGGGGCGGGGCCGGGTGAGGGGCGGGGCCTGGGTGAGGGGCGGGGCCTGGGTGAGGGCGGGGCCGCCGTCATCGGAGGAGTGAGGGGCGCGCGCGCGCAGGGGGCGTGGTGGGGGGCGGGGCCTGGGTGAGGGCGGGGCCGCCGTCATCGGAGGAGTGAGGGGGCTGAGGATGGCACAGGGGGCGGGGGGCGGGGCCTGGGTGAGGGCGGGGCCGCCGTCATCGGAGGAGTGAGGGGGCTGAGGATGGTGCAGGGGGGGCGGGGCGCGCAGGGGGCGGGGCCCGAGGGGGCGGGGCGGGGCTTGCGCACACCTGGCGCGCGCGGCCCAGCGTGCCGCGGCGGTACATGTAGTCCTCGGAGTTGACCACGAAGACCATCTTGTGCGAGCCCAGGCGGAAGCGGCAGGCCACGTCGCACGCGCTCTCCACGCCCAGCAGCCGCTTCCAGGAGCTCTTGGCCTCGCCGCGCAGCGCCCGCACCTGCTCGCACTGCCAGCGCCGGAACTTCTTCAGGTTCCTGCGGGCGGCGGGCGCGTGAGCCCCGGCGTGGGCCCTGCGACTCCCCCGGCCCGGCCCCGGCCCCGGCCCCGCGACTCCCCCGCCCGGCCCCGGCGGCTCACCTCTGCAGGAACACGGGCTTCAGCAGGAAGCCGGCGGCGGGCGGGCCGGCCGCGCCGTCGGGACCCACATACTGCTCCACGTAGCGCGCCAGGTGCTGCGGGCGGACAGGAGGGGCCTGAGCGGGGGCTGGACCCCGCGGCGGGGCGGGGACCGGGCGGGCCGGCCCCCCCACCCCTGCCTGCCCACGGCCCGGGGTGCTCGCTGGGCCGGGCTGCAGACGGTCAGCCTGAGATCCGGGGAGCGGGGCCTGGAGAGCCCCCTACACCTCCTTGTCCTGAACCTCGCCGCCACCGCACGGCCCAGGCCGCAGCGCCTGTGAGCCGAGCCCTCAGCCCTTGGGGTCCGGGCCGGGCCCGGAGCTCCCTGGTGCCAGAGCTGGGCGGCGGGAGGGAGCGACCCCGCCGTGCTCTGCAGGGACGCGGGGAGCCTCACCTGCACCTCCACGGGGTCCTCCGTCTGGGCCTCCTCCGTGTCCAGGAGCTCGATGGTCATGATCACCTGTCCTTTGCGCTGCAGGAACATCACCTGGGGAGGGGCGGGGCCGGGCGTGGGGCTCTGGGGGCGTGGCCTGAGCCCAGGGCGGGGCTGGCTGGGGGCGTGGTCTGGGGCAGGGCCAGCAGGGGCGGTCACCATAGGGGCGGGGCTCCAGCAGGGGCTCTGGGCGCGGCCTGTTGGAGGGCCGGGACGGGGCCGGGGCCGGGAACCGGGGGCCAGGCTCACCTTGAAGCAGTTCTCATCCGCCATGCAGCGCTCGGCCTTCCATTGGTAGCTGGTCTCCCGGGCCGCACGCACGCAGCGGGAGGACAGGTTGCCCCCAGCGGCGCCCCGCTTCTTCTCGTTCAGGTAGAGCTCCACCACCTTCAGGCACAGGTCGTCGCTCACCAGGTGGTGCAGCTGGAGAGGGAGAGCAGGCCGGACGCTGCCACCTCCTCTGGGGGAAGTCGGCCAGGGTCCCAGCCGTGAGGATAGTTCTGCTAGGTGCGGGGGAAGCCTGGGGTCCTGATGGGCCACACAGGGGGACCTAGGTGGGGCCCACAGCCTGCCAGACCACACCAGACTACCACGCCACAGCCAAACCAGACCAGACCACAGCCTGACCTGCCAAATGGACCCCCAGGGCCGGGTGTGGCCGCCCCGCCTGCTCACCTGGCGGGCGATGTTCTGCACCAGCTTGTCCATGGTGAAGCCGATGTAGGCGTGAATGGTGAACATCTCCCGCAAGGCGTCCTCATACTGCGCGGGGTCGATGCTCCCCTCCAGCAGGCTCCGCACCATGTCCAGGAAGGCGGGGTAGTACTCCTCCAGCTCCACCTCACCTGGGAGGGGACAGTGCCCGCTCATGCACACCGAGCATGTCGTGCAATAAGACTCAGCCAGGAAAGAGAATGGGGCCCTCTAATTCACTACGGCATCAGGCTCTGGGGAAGCCAGGGAAAGGCAACGTGTGTCCCTCAGCCCTCGCCAACCCACACAGCCGCCCCTGGAGGAACCCATGGTCACCAGGGAATGCAGCATCTGCCTAAACCTGTCCGCGGGGCTCAGGAAAGGCAGCGCCTGAGCAAACAGTGACTGCGTGCCAGGAGGGGCAAAGTGTGGTGTCCTGCCGGCGTGGAGCGCTGGGGCGCTGGGGCACACTGCCTCTGGGCTGCGGGTCTTACTGGGCTGCTTGAGACGCAGCTCCATGGCGGGGTCGCCACCCTTCTCCCTGCGGCCAGCGCACAGCAGCTGCTCCCGCTCCTTCTCCGCCCTGTACTCCAGCAGCTGCTTCTGCGCCTGCCGGTAGATCTTGAGCAGCCGCGCGCACAGCGTGTGGTGCAGGCGCAGGAAGAAGTACCAGTTGTTATTGGCAAAGAACAGGCTGTACACGTCATCCCGGGCCGCCTCCTCGGGCCCGGGCCCCACGGGCTTCCCAAGCTCGGCCGGCTCTACGCTGGGCCCCGCCGGCCCCTCGCGCTCGGGCCCCGGCTCCTCAGGCCCCGGCCCTGGGTGCTGGGAGAAGAAGAGGCCGGGCAGGAAGCGGAGCAGCAGCTGCTGCATGGTGGCCTGGTCCTCCTTCTGGATGGCCGGCTGCCGCTTCACGTAGTAGCCCACCAGCGCCGCGGCGTCCTCCAGCACCTGCCGGTCCTCATACACGAAGATGAGGTGCGGCTCGCTGGCCGGTGCACTGCGCCCCTCCGAGTGCTGCTCCTGGTGCTGGGCAGGCAGGGGATCAGGACCCGCCTCACCCTCACCCCAAGTGTGCACCCCCTTCCCAGGCTCGGGGCGGGGTTGGACAAGAGCCCCTGCCCAGATCCACTGGTGGGTTCCTGATGCATGAGTGGGGCAGGGGCCGGACTGTGGGGGGCAGAGGGGGGCAGCGTGTGCAGGAAGCAGCTTGCTTTGCCTTGCTCTTCTGCAGCTGAGCTGCAATGGAGGCAGCAAGCAGGGCGCGCAGGGAGCAGGGCCCCCAGGGAGCAGGGCGCGCAGGGAGCAGGGCCCCCAGGGAGCAGGGCGCGCAGGGAGCGGCCGGACCCGGCAGGGCAGCCTGGGCCTCACCTCATCGTAGACGCTCTCGATCTCGTTGAGCAGGCTCTTGGAGCGCAGGGCCTTGGTGTCGTTCTGCTTGAAGTTCACAGCCTGGTGGTCCAGGGACTTGAGGTACGCCTTCTCGTACTGCTCCCTCCAGATCTTGTTGAAGCCCTGCTGGGCCTCCCGCCACTCCTCCTCCTTGGCCTTCAGCCTGCGGGGTGAGGGGGCTCAGGGCCGGGGTGGGGGGGTGCCAGGGGCAGCCTACCCTCCTGCTTGCCCCAACCGGTGCTGGGAGGGAGCCAAGAATGCAGTCACAATGCCAGCATGCAGGCGGCTGAGGCCAAAGGATCCTGAGTTCTAGGCCGGCCTGGGCCACAAAAGAAAGGCTGTGGGGGGAGGGGTGGACAGATGGAGCGAGGGGTTCCCCGGGGCCAGCACACCTCTTCAGGACAACGGGGACGGCTGTGACTGGGTTCTTCTTGAGGCTCTCGATGATCTCGGGGGCCTTGTCCCCATAGATGCGGTGGATGGCGCGCCGCTGGATCACCTCGGATGTGCCACCCAGTGCGTCGTCCAGCCGGAACTTCTCCTGGTCCTCAGGCGCCATCCGTGACAGCTTCTTCTGCACGCTCTCCAGCACCCGGATCGTGGCCAGGTTGGTCTCCAGGACCACGTCTAACTACGGAAGGAAGCAGGAGGTCGGCTCCAGCAGAGGCTGGCAGCCAGACATGGGGTTCAAGGAGGGCCAAGGCGAGGGGCGGGCTGCGGGGTGGTGTGGTCCTGGTGACAGTTACACCATGTGAGGACAGGGATGGTCCTCAGGGCCCAAGAGCTCAGTAGCGCCCAGTAACTCAAGGGCAGGAGTGAGGACTCGGCCCGGGCCACGGCAGCGCAGGGCTGGCGTGCTGTTTGCACCATTCCACAAGGTCCTGAGGTGGCGAAGTGCCGGTGTGCGCAAGTGCAGCAGTCTCACCTGGACCTGGGCTGTTCAGGATCCTGACTGGAGGATACAGTGCGACGTCACAGGACTGACACACGTGCAAAGCACAGACGTGCACAGCTAGACACACCTTCTACTACTGCCTGAGGCCCCATCCCAAGCTCACAAGGCTGGACTCAGCATGCGGCAGGGGGCGGGGTCCTGGGGGCGGGGCCTCCAGGAGAAGCAGTGGGCGGGGCCTCCTAGGGGCAAACGCTCTCGCCGGTGAGCGGCCCCGAGGTCCTCCCCACTGCAGACGAGCAGCAGGAGAGTAGGGAGGACAGAGAAAGGCGGCAGGGGTGGCGCACGCACCTCGAAGCGCTCATCCTCACAGCGATGCAGCTGCTCCTCGTAGGGCGTCTTCTTAGAGCTAACGAAGGTCGAGTCTTCAGACCAGGAGGGGAAGGACACCCAGGTGTCGTTCAGCACCTGTTTAGGGAGGAGCCAGTGCAAAGCATCATGGGACACACAAAGACCCTGACTTCATCATGAGCCCGGTGAAGTCGTGAAGGAGTGTTTTAACTTTGATGGGCCGTGGCTCTGTCTGCAATGCTCAACTCTGCCCTTGTGCTAAGTAGCCACTGGCTGCATCCACACACGCGTGTGGCTGTGTGGTGTGCCAATACAACTATTGACGTAGCCAGGCGTCGGTGGCTCACACCTGTCATACCAGCTTTTCAGGAGGCTGAAATCTGAGGATCGTGGTTCAAAGCCAGCCCGGGCAGGAAAGTCCGTGAGACTCTGATCTCCAAGGAACCACCAGCAAACCAGAAGTGGCGCTGTGGCTCAAGTGGTAGAGCGCTCGCCTTGAGCTGAAGAGCTGAGGGACAGCGCCCAGGCCCAGAGTTCAAGCCCCAGGACAGACAAAAAAATAATTCACAAACACAGGCAGTGGGCCACCGGGGCCTCATAGCACGTTGCTGACCCCGGGACTATAAACCTGGAATGCAGTGGGCACACCTGGACTCTGGAAATGCGCCACTCATCTGAATGTCCAAGGGTGAAGCTGGTCAGGGGCCGCAATGCTGTCAAATGTTCTGATGGAGTCTGTCACTCAGTCTCAACTGTAACAGGAGACCCAGGGCATCTGCTGAGGAAGACGGGGTCCTCAGCCTAGCTGGCCTGTGACCCCCCTAGGGAGAGTTACCTCCTTGCAGATGGCCGTCCTCCCGCTGCACCTTGGCTGCTGGTAGGTTTTGGGGAGCGCCCGATAGCTGGACCCAATGCGCTTGCAGGACGCGTAGTCGATTTCTCGGCTGATTCCATCCCCAGACCGCTCACTCATGGGTGGTGCAAACGACAGCTCTTTCACCCCCAGGAAGGACTTGAACTGTGCAAAGAGTTCTGGAAATTTCCTTCAAAGACACATCATACATTAGCATCCCACAGGCCTTTGGACAAGAATGATCTGGAAATGTGACAGTGGCCTCGATGGAATTCAGTGCCAGGAAGGCCAGCAGAGAAAGCAGGCGTGGAGACGGCCCTCCTCCGGTCAGTGAGTCTGTCCTACTCAAGCCTGTTGCAACCCACTGCGCGGCCCTTAATCCACCGCAACCAGGAGCAACACAGCAACGGAGACTGTACCATGCAACTGAGATTTGGGGTACCAGCGGACCTGTACCCTCTGCTGGCAAGGTTTTTTTTTTTTTTTTGGGGGGGGGATCTGGTCGTGGGGCCTGAACTCTGGGCCTGGGCGCTGTCCCTCAGCTCTTCAGCTCAAGGCTAGCGCTCTGCCACTTGAGCCACAGCGCCACTTCCGGCTTTTTTCTTTTTGCTTTATGTGGTGCTGAGGAATCGAACCCAGGGCCTCAGGCATGCAAGGCAAGCGCTCTACCACTGAGCCACCTTCCCAGCCCCCTGATGTTGTTTTTTGCATTTTTTAAATTTTGCTTTTCTACCTTTTTCTAAATTTGGCCAGAAAAAGCTGGTACCTGGAGGAGTTGGGTACAGGGTACCCCAGCCTTCCCCCTGTGATTTCTTCCTAATGCTTGTGCATCTGTAGTAATCTCAGCAACAATTTAAAGCAGCTGGTAAGTCACCCACAAACTAACCCAGGCGGTGGGTGGACGTGCACATGCGGAATCCGGAGCACCTGGCGGCCACATGGGGCTACTCACCCTAGAAACGGGCTAACGAGTTGCAGGAGCTCAGAGCCCGACACCAGCTCCTGGTTGAAGAGGGCAATGCAGCGCAGAAAGTTCTCGTACACCTCCTGGCTCTTCAAAACCCTGCGCACCTGTGGAGGAGAGGGGGCAGGGTCAGGACCCGGCCACTTACCAGAGCGCCCTCGCTGGCCCTGGGAGTGCGCCGAGCCCTGCCCCCCTCAGCCCCACCCACCATGGCTCCACCCCCTGCTCCCCTCTGGCTCCACCCACCCGCCACGGTCCCACCCCTGTCCCTCTATGGGCCCGCCCCTCCATGACCCAACCTCAGGTGGCTGTGGGCCCGCCCCTCTCTCAGCTCTGGCCCCGCCCTCCATGGCTCCGCCCCTGCTCCGCTCTGGCCCCACCCCCAGGCCAAAGGGCCCACCTTGTCAAAGAAGGAGAACTCCTGCAGCGTGCCGTACTTGCCCACGGCGGCGAGGGACAGGTCTTTGGTTCCACGGAGCTTCATCTTCTTCTGTGGAGACATGCGGAGGGTTAGGGCAGGCAGCAGGGGTGGCCTGGGGGCCTGGGGGGGCCGCTCAGTCCTGCTGCCCGTCCTGGCAGGGCTACCCCGCTGCCCTCCTGACTCGTGTCAACCTGGGGGGCAGCGCCATCATGGACGTAGGGGAGGAGTGACGGCCACAGCAGCCCCAGCCAGGCCAGGGGTTCGAGGCCCTACCTGGTCCTGTCTACTGAGCCAGCCAGCAACAAGGGGACAGGCGGGAAGGGCACGGGAGGGCTGCAGCACCTGCAATGGCTCTGCAAAGGTTTCTCTACCTAAGATGGACAGACAGCAGACCCGAGCATGGCCACAGCCCTCGGCCTGGCGGACACCACTGCCCTGCCAAGCCCCCCACAGCACGCCGGGGACAGCAAGGGCGTCCAGCCGAACGCCCACAGCAAGGGACAGTACTTTGAGTCTGGCGCATATAACGAAAGGGAAGGAAATTTTACTACACTAGAAACTCAACTAAGAAAAGCCCAAGGAGGGGCTGGGAAGGTGGCTCGGGGTAGATGCTTGCCTAGCACGCATGAGGTTCAAGTCAGCACCACATAAGCAGAAAGAGCCAGAAGTGGCGCTGTGGCTCAAGTGGTAGAGCGCTAGCCTTGAGCTGAAGCACTGAGGGACAGCGCCCAGGCCCAGAGTTCAAGCCCCATGACCGGAAAAAAAAAAAAAAAAAAACGGCCAAGTAGGCGGGCACTGGTGGCTCACACCTGCCATCCTAGCTATTCTGGAGGCTGAGATATGAGGATCACAGTTCAAAGCCAGCCCAAGTAGTAAAGTAGTAGTAAAGTCTGTGAAACTCTTATCTCCAATGAACCACCAGAAACAACAACAACAAAAAATGCCCAGGAGATGATGGGTTCAGAAGCCACCATAGCGGAGCCCTGAGAAGGGAGGCGGGTGCTCGATTTCCTCACCGGTGCAGTGGACATGAGAGCCCCATGAATGCAGAGCGGTGACCAGGGAGGGAATAGACCAGCGACCCAGCCCCAGCGCCCGGCACTCTGCAGGGCTCAGGTCAGCAGGCAGAGGCCGGCCTGGGAGGACGCCGCTGCGTTACCTTGGCCGGCGCGGACACCGGACGGAGGAGCGAGGGCCGAGAGCGCTTTTTGCTGTGCTCCAGGCTCTTCTCCTGCTCACTCTTCGGGATACTGTTCATCTCACACGCCCCGCTGCCTGTGAACTGGGGACATGGCACACGCATCGTTATGGCTGGAATGGAAGCCCGCTCGGGCTCAGCCCCAGCGTCGGTCACTCGCCACAGGCCAGGACCTCTGCATGCCAGGTGACGCCAACACCTGGCTCTGCAGATGCTCACGGCGCTGATGCAGTGACTCATGACTGTAAGGCCAACTGCTTGTGAGGCAGAGACTCTGAGAATTGGGGTTCAATGCCAGCTTGGGTAAAAAGGAAGAGCTGAGCCAGGCACCGGTACATCACCCTGTCATCCTAGCTACTCAGGAGGCTGAGATCCAACGATCGTGGTTCAAAGCCAGCCTGGGTGTCCTTGAGACTCTGATCTCCAACAAATCACCAGAAAACCAGAAGTGGTGCTGTGGCTCAAGTGGTAGAGCGCTCGCCTTGAGCTGAAGAGCTGAGGGACAGCGCCCAGGCCCAGAGTTCAGGCCCCACGACTGACAAAAAAAAAAAAAGAACCCCCATGGAAACTGAGCATGGAGGATGTGCCTATAATTCCAGCTATGCAGAAAGCCCTAGGTCAGAGCAGAACATAGTCCAAAGCCAGATTTAGGCCAAGGCCAAAAAAATATGCGTTGATCAGAAAAGCACCTAAAGCAAAAAGCTCTGTAGGTAGCTAGCAAGCACAAGGCAGAAGCCAAACACTAATACCACACACACACACACACACACACTGGAGACATGGCTCAGGTGAAAGAGCTAGCCAATGAATGAACGCATCAGAGACTGGGTTCTAGTTTGGGTCTCCAACACGATTCTCCACATTCTCTGGGGCAGAGGCTCGTGTTCCCAGCAAACTCACACAACCAGAAGACGCAGGAGACCAGAGGCAGAGGCCCGGGCTGAAGGCACCGGAGGGTACACTGAAGGTGCCGGTGCAGGGGGTGGCCCATCAGCCAATCACGCTGCCTCACATGTGAACACTCAGAGATGCAAAGCATCTTGGGTAAAAGGCAGCAGGTGCAGCAAGCCGGTGCCCTCCAAGCCCCAGGTGCAGGTGCCTTGCAGGCCAGGGTTTGGATTCTTTGGCAGAACAGTGCATGTCTGAGGGGTGGAAGTGCATCCTAGCTGATTTGGGGCTTATCTCCGTATCATGGACTGTCAGCAATGCTCATTTGAAGCAGAGTACCTCTGGGGAACACCCCGAAATGGGGTCCCCTGCTGTAATCCCTGCTCCCAGGCCACCAGGGGGACCTGGACAGACACACGAAGCACACAGGAAGCACACACGGCTGCTGTGGAGTGGTGGCATACCAAACAAGCCGGACAGCACGTGCCACCCTCCACAGCACTAAGTGAACGAGATCAGCGCCGACAGCCCCCGCCCGGTGCCAAGGGCTGACCAAGGGGCAGGGCAGTGCACTTTTTATTTTTTTGGCAAAGGATAAATTCAACTAGACAAAGGAAACTTTTCCTCTGAGTCACAGGGAACTGAGGGAGGAGGGAAGTCTACTTTCCTTGGGATGTCCATCCTAGCACCTGGCCTTCCCAGCCGACAGCGTGAACGGTAATGATGGTAACAACGCACAGGTGAATGAACACACCACTACGAGGTGGAATTAGTTCATCTCCTGGGGCATCTGGTGCTCTAACTTCGAGGGATCAAGAACACACGTCCACGGACACAGTGTGCTGAACTGTAACCAGTTTCCTTGGAAAGATGCTGAAACTTGGTTCTAGGGAACCTATTCTTGGAGAGATATTCCACTTTTGGCTATCAAGGGGAATAAAAAGTAAGGAAGACTTTGGGCCTAGATGAAGACTTTTGTCTCTTAAAAGAAAGTTACAGCCAGGCATTGGGGGCTCACTCCTGTCATCCTAGCTACTCAGAAGGCTGAGATCTGAGGATCATGATTCAAAGCCAGTCCAGGCAGGAAAGGCCGTGAGACTCTCATCTCCAATAAACCACCAGAAAACTGGAAGTGGTGCTGTGGCTCAAGTGGTAGAGGGCTCGCCTTGAGCTGGAGAGCTGAGGGACAGCGCCCAGGCCCAGAGTTCAAGCCTCATGACACCCCCCCCCCAAAAAAAAAAAAAGAGAAATAGCTGGAGGAGCAGATGCGTGCCTGTGATCCCAGCACGGGCTTAGAGGCCAGCCTGGGCTACACAGCACGCCCTCCTCACAAAGTTGCACTTAGTAACTTAATTCTTGAAAGGCTCAAAGCTATTCCAAGAACTGTCACTGCAGAATGTGTACCCATTGAGCTGAATTCCTTTTTATAGGTCTTCAAACATGAAGGGGGACAGGTGAGGATGGGGACCCTTGCTCCAGGGGTGAGGCCGGCTTAGCACCTCCGCCTGCAGCCCCTTCACCCCTGTGGTCAATGCCCTGCAGCCACAGGCACCACGCGGCCGGCGGGCTGGGCCACGCACAGGAAGCACCCAGGGTCTCCTGTGTTTTTCCAGCTGGGCCTAGCTGTGCTGGCCGCTGCCGGCCCTTCCCTGTGTGAACATGGCGAGGTGAACTCCCAGACACGCTCCCACTCTCCAGGGCAAAGCTAGGCTGCAGCAGGTGGCCGGTGAGAGCTGCTTGTTCGATTTGCCCCTGCACAGGAGCGCGTGCCGGGCTGGGCCTGCGTGGCACACTACAGCCCCACCGCTGCCCTGCTCTAAGATGTGTCCAACATGCCGTGTGCAGAACCCACGTGGCGGGTGCCTGGCCCGGGGAGGTCTAGTGGGGAGCTCCATCCCCGAGGTGCTTGACTCCCTGAGGTGGGGACCGCCCCTAGTGGGGGGGGCGCTGCCCTGGGGCTCCCCACTCCAGCTGGCTGGGGTCTGACTGGTTCCTTGGTTTGCTGGGATGGGTTGAGGCCCCAGTGCATGTGGGACACCTGTGTCCCCAGCTGCCCCCCAGCCCAGGCCCACGCTGACTGTGGGGAGGGGGCTGTGCAGGGCGGGGCCTATGCAGAGGACGGGGCTTGCAAGTGGGATTCTGGGAAGGGGCTGCCCAGGCTGGGAGTCTGGCATGGCTTTTGGGCCAATGGCCCTCAGGAGGGGCTGGATCCTGGGCAGGGTGGCAAGGCCAGCCGCACCCCACCCACCACCCCATCTCCAGCGGAGGCCTGTGGAATGCCCCTCCCAAGCCCCACCCTGGGTGCTGCTTGGGGGAGTGTACGAGGATGCAGGGTGTCCCCCCTCCCTGTGGGGACCAGGGTAGGGTGGCCCTGGAGCCAGGCAGCCTGCAGTGGGGCAAGCTGGCCCCAGACCACTCCCCCCAGAGAACAGGGCCCACCCACAGGACATAGGTGACATGGGCACAGGGAGATGATCTAGAAGGGGCCTCAGGAGGAAGGGGCCCATGGGCGGCCCAGATGCCCAGTGTGGTGACCCTCCCCCATGTTGCAAGTGTGTGCTGACATGCGGCCTGGGGCCCCCCACAGTGGCCACAGGCAGTGTCACCAAGGGCAGGGGGTGACACCCGTGTTGCCCCATGTCACACGAGACACAGACAAAACAGTGACACAGCACTCAAGCAGACAGGACACTCAAGGGGGGCTCCCCTACACCAGGACGACACCCCGGGATCCAGCATCCCTGCCGCTCCCACAGCAGCGCCGGGAAAAGCTGTGGCTCCTGCAGTGGCCTCCTGACCCCGTGGCCACAGCCCAGCCGCCGGCAGAGCGGCCCGGCAGCTGCCCAGGCGCAGGGCGCAGCTGAGTGGGCCACCACGGGGGTCTGCTTGTGGACACCCCCGAGACACCCTGCCCTCATCTAGGGAACCAGCCTCACCTCACCAAAACCCCGATGCCTACCCCGCAAAAATCCAACTAAGGATCGTCACTGAAATTCAGTCTCCAGCCTGGCAGGCAGCCCTGTAATCTCAGCAGCCACGGTAGGATGAGGAGATCCAGGGCAGCCTGGGCTGCGCGGGGGGCACTGCAAGGACTCTGCCTCAGGGCACAGGCCCCCCAGCGGCCTTCCACACAGGCCCAGGCCAGAGCCACAGGACTGCTGCAAGCCAACAGCGTGGGGGGACCCCAGTTTGGCAGGGAGATGTGGGCAATGGCGCACATCGGGGCGATCCAAGGCTCCCGGTGGACGGGACGGGCAAGGGACAGGCTGTGCGTCTCCAGGGCGGTTCAGACGCAGCCAGCTGGCCGCAGCGGGGGATCCCACCCGAGAGCCTGTGCGAGGAGCACCACCCACACCCACGCCACCTGGGAGGACAGAGACCAGAAACCAGGACAGGAGCCTGGAAAGGGCACCGGGGCGCTGCTGGGAACTACTTCACAGACCACAGACCGCTGCCAGATCCCACAGCAGCCAGCGAGCTGACTTGCAATAAAGCAAGCATGGGAGCCATCCTTCTTCACACCACGGCACGGATAACCGGCCGCACGTGGGAGCCAGCGCCCAGCGCTCCATCACCTCAGCTGCTCAGGAGGCCGAGACCTGAGGATCACCACTCAATCCAGCCTGGGTAGTGAAGTCCATGAGACAATCTCCAATTAACAACCCAAAAGCCAGAAGTGGTGCTGTGGCGCAAGTGGTAGAGTATTAGCCTTGATCAACAAAGCTCAGGGGAAGGACTCAGGTCCTGAGTTCAAGCCCTAGGATTCATTTACACACACATACACACGCACGCGCACACATGGAAACCAAACTCAGCCATGGGAAGTAGAACACTCACCCCAAGAACGCAGACAGGGAAATATGACACTGAAAAACACACAGAGACCCCACGAGGGAAAGTGAGGGCAGGAGGCAGGCCATGGCGGCTGGGGGCTGGGAGGGGCTGCTCCGGGGACGGGCCTCCTTTCAGGGGGGGGCCTAGGGGCTGAAAGGGAACTTAAGAGGTGCCGGCTGCGCAACATGGGGTGTAGTAATGCAACTCAAGGGTGCGCTTTAACATGTGAACTTTATGTTGACACAGATTTCATGTCAAGTTTTCAAAAGAGCCTTCTGCTGATCCAGAAAACAAAAATGAGAACCAAAAGGAAAAAGCAGCCTCCGCCGGTCTCAGGCCACAGCTGGGGGAGAAAGTGGGGTCAGTGCGGGCCCCAGACCTGCCCAGCCCAGCCCCTCCTCACCCACCTCTGCACCCCACCCCCACCCCCAGCTCCTCCTGCACCTCCCACAGCCGGCTATGCACAGGCGGGCTCTCGAGAGTGGGCACGGGGTGGTGGGACCCCAGCCCCACCCCAGGGGCCTCTAAACCAGAGAGGCCCAGAGGACCTGGCCAGGGCCAATCTGGCAGCCCGCACCCCGAGTGGGGGGTCCCGTTCCCCCCTGCCAAGCCCGCGCTCACTCACCGGGCAGTGCTCACTCACCAGGGAGCGCTTGGCCTCGGGCAGGAACTGGCCAAACTCGGAGAGCAGGTCCTCCTGGCCACGGAAGAGGTTGGCCACCTCGGTGAACACCTCCTCCTCCGACATGCCGCGGAACGGACGGCCCTTGGAGTGCAGCTGCTCCTTCTAGGGGCGGGGCGGGGAGGGAAAGGAGGCGTCAGCATGCGCCAGGGGTGCGGGGAGCCGGGGCGCGCCTGCAGCCACCACAGAGCAGCGGAGGAGCAGCACAAGACTGGGGCCGGGAGTGTGGGCACACTGGGAGCGGGTGGACGCAAGGCTGGCTGAGCTGGGCGGGCATCATGCGGACACTGAGAAAGAGGGGGTGCGGAAGAAAGGCTCCCCACAGGGGCCTGGGAGGAGAGCCCAGGAGGAGGGGCTGGAAGCTGGACGGCTTTAGAAGCGCGTCCAGGCCGAGCCCACAGGGAGCGCAGAAGCTGCGGCCGGGCTGGGCCGGGCTGGGCCTCCGTGGGCTCACGGCTCCTGAGCCCCTCGGGCACCGCCCCACCCTCTCAGCCCCTGGCCCGGCAGGCAGGGAGCCAGGCAGCCTCGCCTGGGGCGTCTGCCTTTTCGGCAGCTTGGATGGACGAGGGGGCCTTGGTGCTCCCACGTGCTCAACCCTCCCCGCCAGCCCCACGGCTCGGGAAAGCCAAAGCAGAAAGGAGCAGAGGCCACTCAATCCACACTTAATTGAGGGCCAGGGGCGGTAGCACACGCCTGTAATCCAGCTACAAAGGAGGCATAGGTAGGAGGCTCATGGTCTGAAGCCAGTTTCTTTGAGGCTCAGCCTGAAAAACAAAACTAGAAGTAAAAAGATTGGGAATACAACTTGAGTGGTAAAGCATTTGCCTAGCAAAACCAAAGGCCCTGAGTGTAAAACCCCAGCAGCTCTAGCAGGCCCCATGACTGGCAAAAAAAAAAAATACAAGTTGGAAGAGTGGCCCAGCCATCCCACGGCCACCAGCAGACCTGGACAAACGGGGTCCCTCGGGATCCCGGGGCCTAGGCCCCAGCGACTCAGGGAGGAATATCCCAGGACAAGTTCAGGGCGGTGTTGACTGGAGGCCACACACCCCACCGTGGGAAGGCGGGGGTGGGGGGGTGGGGGGAGGTGGGAACAACCTGAACCACTTGCTCTGATGCAACTCAGTCGAGGAGAGCCGCAGGCGGCCAGGTGCAGGGCTGTGCACTCAGGCTGGTGGCGGCCAGGTGCAGGGCTGTGCACTCAGGCTGGTGGCGGCCAGGTGCAGGGCTATGCGCACACCAGGTTCCCATTGAAGACACAAAAGACTGTCCTTCCTTGCCCACCCCTCCTCCTCTTCCCTTCGCCTCCAACCTGACAGCCGCCTGGTGTGTCTGCGCTGGCCAGGCCCGCCCGTGTCACCCACACCACGGACAGCAAACATTTCCACAGCAGCTCCTATCTGACCCGTTACTCGGGAGGCAGAGAGTAGGGGGTCACACGTGAGGCCAACCCTACGTGTGAAAAAGGACATCCCATCTCAAAGAACGAATCGGGTGTGTCTCACACTTCCTCCGCTGTGCGTGGGCCACACAGCTTCTGAGTACTGAACTCGCACTGTCGGCCTTGCGTTGTCCCTCAACTTTTTCACTCAAGACTACCATTCTACCATGCGAGCCTTACACAGCGCCACTTCCCGTTGTTTGCTGCTTACTTGAGTCACTCCGATCGATCTACCTGGGCTGGTTCTGTCCTGAGCGGCTAGGATCACAGGTGTGAGCCACCGCTGCATGGCCTGTGCGCAGGTACCACCCTTAAATGACTTGTGGGGTGCCAAGGCCCACCACAGTCCTCCCAGCTACTCGGGAGGTCCAGAAGACACGATGGGGCCAGACAGACAGAAAGTTGAGAACCGTCCTCCCAGAGAAAGCGGATGATGCAGTCATCCAGCCACAGTGGGTCAAAATCCAGGAGAGCGTGAGACAAAAATGAGACCCTAGCTCAAGAAACAAAGCAAGCTGGGCGCCAGTGGCTCACGCCTGTCATCCTACAGCTAACTCCCGAGGCTGGGATGTGAGAACGCAGTTCAAAGCCAGGCTGGGCAGAAAAGTCCACAAGACTCTCATCTCCAATTAACCACTCAAAAGCCAGAAGTGGTGCTGGGGCCCAAGTGGTGGGTAGAGTGCTAGTCCTGAGCACAAAGAGGCTCAGGGACAGCGCCCAGGCCCCAAGTTCAAACCCCACAACTCACAAAAAAGGAAGAAAAGAGCTAAGAGGCCTGTCTTTCAAGAGGTAATGTGTCAGCCGTGAGCAATGTGAGTTCATAGCCCCAAAGGAAACAAAGCAAGCCAATGGCTGAGGCAGAGCATGGGCAGCGAGCTGGGCAGGGGGGAAGGCTGGGGGGGGGGGGGGGGGGCAGCGGCTCTGACCTGGTAGGTGTGCAGGATCTCCAGGAAGGAGCGGTAGATCTCCGGGTGGTCCAGGAAGCGAGTCTTAATCTTGTTCACGTAGCTGATGGCATTGTTGAACTCCACCGAGTCCGCCTCCAAGGGCCCCGGGCCCCGCTCCTCCTTGCAGGCTGCTGCCGCTGCGGCCTGCGGCTTGAAGTCGGCCGCACCTTCGCCATGAGCATTCTCCTGCAACAGGACCGACCCCATGAGCAATGCCAGGCCCCGCCGCTGTGGGGACAGTGGCTGCTGTGGGGACAGTGGCCGGGCACCAGGCACCTCCTCTTTTGTCTTGGTGTCACCCTGACACTTCAACTCAGAGACTGGGTGCCACCCAAGCTGTGCCAGCTGTGGCACACGAGTGTGACAGGCCATCTCAGGAGGCAACAGCACCTAAAGCCCAAGCAGGGCTGCCTCAAGGCTGAGAGCTGGCCAGGGCTGCAGCTGTGCACCTGGGGACACTGGGAGACACTGTGGCTGGAGGCCAAGGCCGCTGGACACCCAGGATGTGTCCTGGAGAAACAAGACAGCGTGAACCGATCCATCAGAGGCAGCAGCTCGACACCTAAGAGGCGCTCAGCTGCAGCTGGCGATCTTGAGGACAGAATGAACAGAGACCTACGCTGAAGGCCGTGTTCACTGCGGGGAGAGTGGATGCGTGAATGCCACAGGCCATGTGTGTCCGCAGCTGGGGACACGCATGGGGGAGGAGCCACTCCAAGGATCTAGGGAGCCAGGATGGGGAGGGGTGGCCTCCCAGTGCACCACTGTCCCTGAGAAGCCTCCCTGGGCAAAGCTGAGGGTGGGTCGGAGGGGCAGGAGGCCACCTCTTCTGCAGGGACGACCTGGCCTGCCTGGGGCTGGCAGAACGAGAACGCGATGCCCAGATGGACTAGCACCCTGGGAGGGGCAGCCACGCCCCTCTGGTAAGAACTCGAGGGCTGAGTCTCCAGGCCCACAGCTGAGGAATTCAGCGGCCTAGGCTACTAAATCTTGAAATTTTCCACTACATCCTCATCGTGGAAGCACGGAGAAAAGCAGTGTTTCAACCCACCCGGCACCACCACTGCCAGCTCCCCTGTGGACTCCTTTCCCCAAAGTCCATGTCTGTTCTGTTGGTGGCAGGTCTGCACCGGCCCAGCTATGGCTCCTTGTACTGGAGAGCTAGTGGCTCACAAGAGATGAGATGCTAGGCTGGGAAGGTGGCTCAGTGGTAGAGTGCTTGCCTAGCATGCATGAGGCCCTGGGTTCAATTCCTCAGCACCACATAAGCAGAAAAAAAGCCGGAAGGGGCGCTGTGGCTGAAGTTAGATCGCTAGCCCTGAGCTGAAGAGCTGAGGGGCAGCACCCAGGCCCAGAGTTCAGGCCCCATGACCGGACCAAAAAAGAGGTGAGATGTTCTGTGTGCACTAGTAATGGGCCTTGAACTTGAGACCTAGAGCTTGGCAGGCACTTCCTTGGAGCAGCACCGCCTTACCAGTTTTTGTGGGGTTTTTTGCTAGACTAATTGGCGATGGAACCCCAGAAGCTCCCTGCCTGCATTGGTCTGAAACTTCAATCTTCCAGATCTGTCTCCAAAGCAGCTAAGACTACCAAAGCCTGAGACAGCCATTTCTGCAGGAGACAGAGGCCAAAGGTGCAGCTAGACAACCCACAATGCACTGCGAAGCCTTCCATGTACAGCTGAGACTAGAAAGACCATCACACTCACAGCGCAACGACAGTTCAGCGTGCTCTTGCTCACTGTCCACACTCCTTCCTCTAGCAAGGAGGAACTACAGAGGCGAGGGACGGGGGGACGGGACGGGACACGACAGCGCCCCAGCATCCCAGAAAGGCTTGATTGCCAGCTGAGAGCTAGTCGAATGACCCTGTTCAGCACTAACTAGTCTTCCACTTTTTGCTAGTGGCAGCAACGGCTCGTGGCCAGGTTCAGGGGTGGGGTCCCCCAGCCCGCCTCGGCAGCTACAGAGGGGCTGACATGTTCCTGACCCAGGAACCTATCATTCATGGACCAGGAATGGAGCCCGCAGCCTTGTGCTATATACCCTGAGCTGCCCTCCCTCTGAATCCTTTTTTTTCGGGGGGGGGGGGGGGTGAGGAGGCAGGACGGGGGATTGAACCCAGGGCCGGGGACCTGCTAGGCAAGTGCTCTGCCCCTGAACACCCCCAGCCCTCTTAAAAATTTTGTTTTCAAGATGGGGTCTCACTAGTTATGTCCACGCTCACTTCAAACTCTAAATCCTAAAACGCAAAAACTTGAAGTTCTGTTGGCATTTCCTCCTAATTAAGTTAGAGGCACGCAGCACCCGCTCAGCTTGGGGGGGGGGGGGGGGATGCAGAGGCTGCAGTCTGTGTGTTTGGATCCATTCTGATGGGTGAGAAGCAGTTAGTCTAGCAGAAGCAGAGACCATGCCTGGGGTCTTGTGAATAACAAAGGCAGCCGCACAGCGACAGGCTGAGGCCCCTCCCCTGCACCCCGGCAGCGTACCTGGCCCCCAGGGGACTGAGTGTCCACCTTGCCGTTCTTGGGAATGTCTATCCGGTACCCAAGAGGCAGGAAAGCATTGAATCCCACGATGAGGTCAGGATGCTCGTGGAAGAGCTGAGACACACGTCGGATGACCCCAGGAGTATCAATGCTGAGAGAAATAACAGCACAGTGGTTAAGAGGCTTGGAAACGAAAAGCAAACACAGGTCCCACTCTTAGGCAACAGCACAGCACATTTCATTGTACCTGGTATGCCCACTTGCTGCCCTGACTCCATTTCTCCTGCTGCTTCCCTGAGCCCTCATGGCAAAAGCCACACACACAGCACAGAGCCAGCCGCAAATCACTGTAAGCATGCGCACTAGATTCTGAAAAGAAGTCAAAGCGCAAATGCCCACTTTTTCTCTCGTGACAGTACTGCTACTCCTTAGCTTTTTTGTTGTTGTCAGTCACGGGGCTTGAACTCTGGGCTTGGGCGCTGTCCCTCAGCTCTTCAGCTCAAAGTTAGCACTCCATCACTTGAGCCACAGCAGTTTTCTAGTGGTGTATTGGAGATAAAAGTCTCGCCTTTCCTGCACAGGCTGGCTTTGAACCGAGATCCCCAGGATCTCAGACTCCTGAGTAGCTAGGATGACAGGAATGAGCCACTGGAACCTGGCTTCCTTAGCTTTTTCATTGAAGGCTGGAGCTCTACCGCTTGAAGCACAGCTCCACTACTAGCTTTTTATTGATTGGAAGACCTCACATTTTCCTGCCTGGTTTCAAACTGCCATCCTCAGAACTCAGCCCTCTGAGAAGCTGGGACTGCAGGCATGTGCCACAGGAAGCCGCTTTTCTTTTTCACAAGGGAGCAGCTGAGGTCTGCCTCAGGACCACAGGCACCCACTGAAGGCCAGTCCCTCCACACCCACTAAGAGCAGCACAGTAGGATGAGACCTGAACATCGCCTTAGAGGCGTGAGTTCCGGGTCTACCTCTGCCACTGTGGTGTGGGGCATACCAGGATTACAAAACCTAGAGAGACCGAGGTACCGGTTTCTTTAACCCTCCTGATGCTGTAACCCCAAAAAACTAATATCGGTATGTTGTAGTATTTCCTATTAGCAATAGCAAGGTCTTAAGAGCTCAGCAGCGCCTCCTTCGCGGCAAGCAGGCCTGGTCGGGTGGAGCCACCTTGAACACAGAACGAAAGATACAAAACCACCCCTGTAAAGCCAGAGAACAGACTAAGGCCTCCGTATCTTTCCAGAACAAAACAGCAACATTTTACATAAAAGCGAGCTCCGACTGCACCCAGGCTGGCCCTCCCCTCCCCCGCAGCCTCTCCCGGCCAGCCCGAGAGGAGCCGCGCAGGGCAGCCCTCCCCTTCCCGAGCCCCCGCTCAAGGTCGGCGGCTGCAGGGGGAAGGGGATGGACCGGCCCCCACCCCTTGCTCAGTCTATGGCCAACCGGACCAGGGGAGGGGCTCCCGGAACTGTGGAGGCCTGGGAGGGGCTGTCCCCGGCGAGGGGGGCGCCCGGGGTCTCCGGAAGAGTGGGGAGGGGTTCTGGGAACATGGAAGAGAGGCTACCAGAGCAGAGGCCTCCCAGGACCCGGGGGGGGGGGGGGGCAGGGGGACAGGGCTTGCTCCCAGCTAGCGGAGCTCGTAGCAAACGTCGGAGACGTTCTCTGACGTTGAGGGTTTAGCGGGAGAAGATGGGCTTTTGGGGTGTACAGGAGGGGCTGCCGCGGGGCCTGTCTCCGGGAGGCTCTGTGGGGCGGGATGGGCCTCCTCTCCCGTGGCGCAGGTGGGCCTGGGGGCGCGGGGGGTCCCCGGGGGAGGCTCCCGGAGTGGGGCGCGGCGTCCAGGGAGCTGGGAAGCCCGTCGGGCCGGCCCGCGCTACCTCTGGCTCTTGAACTCCTTCATGATCTCCAGGAAGCCGTTGTAGGTGGCGGGGGTCGCTGCCGAAACGGATCTTCACCTGGTCCAGGTAGGTGAGCGCGTCCTCCACCTGCGGGGAGGGGCGTTCAGGCGGGCCTGGGCCTGGGTCCGGGTGGGGGGCCGGGGCTGGGGCGGGGAGGGGGGGGGGGCCCGGGGTCGGGGCCGGGGGGTGGGGGGCCGGGGCTGGGGCTGAGGCCGGGGGGGGGGCCGGGGGGGAAGGGGGACCGGGGGGGGCGGGGCTGGGTCGGGGTCGGGGCCGGGGCGGGGGGACCCGGGCCGAGGTCGGGCCGGGGGCGGGCGGGGGGGCGGGGCTGGGGCCGGAGTCGAGCCGAGGGGCCGGGGCTGGGTCGGCCCGGGTCGGGGTCGGGGCCGGGGCCGGGGCCGGGGTCGGGGCGGGGGGGGGGGGCCGGGGTCGGGGTCGGGGCCGGGGTCGGGGCGGGGGGGGGGGGTGCTGGGCCGGGGCCCGGGTCGGGGTCGGGGCCGGGGCCGGGGTCGGGGCGGGGGGGGGGGTGCTGGGCCGGGGCCCGGGTCGGGGTCGGGGCCGGGGCCGGGGTCGGGGCCGGGGCCGGGGCCGGGGCCGGGGCCGGGGTCGGGGCCGGGGCCGGGGTCGGGGCGGGGGGGGGGGGGGGCCGGGGCCGGGGTCGGGGCCGGGGTCGGGGCGGGGGGGGGGGGGGGGGCCGGGGTCCGGGTCGGGGCCGGGGTCGGGGCCGGGGTCGGGGCCGAGGTCGGGGCGGGGGGGGAAACTGGGCCGGCCGGGACCGGGCCGGAGTCGGGGCCGGGACCGGAGTCGGGGCCGGGGCCCGGGAGCCCGCCCGCCCTCCCGCGGGGCGGCCGCGGCCTGAGGAGGCCGGGGGGCGGCGCGGCCCCGGCTGCGCAGCGCGGAGGCCCCGGGCGCGGCCGCGGCGGGGGGCGCCGGGCTGCGGGGACTCTGACAGAAACGCGTCCCACCGGAGAACCGAGCCGCCACTCACGTGCACCGGCAACTTCTCGTGGCCTCCGGGGCCCGGACGACCCCAGCGAGCGCCGCCCGGTCCCCGGCCCGCGGAGCCGCTTCCACCTCCTGCGTGCGCCATGTTGGAAGTGAGAGCCTCGGCCGCCGCGCCCCCGCCTCGGAGCCCGCCGCGCATGCGCACGCCCCGCCTCCGCACGGGCCGTGACGCCCGAGGGGGCGTGGTCGCCTCGGGAAGCGGGGGCGGGGAGGGGGCGGGGAGCGCGGGGAGGGGGCGGGGAGCGCGGGGAGGGGGCGGGGAGCGCGGGGACGGGGCGGCGCGGGGAGGGGCGGGGAGCGCGGGGGCGCGGGCCGAGCCCCCGGGGCGCGGGCTGTGCGGGCTGAGCCCCGCGAGCCCACGCCCGCCGCCCACCCCGCACCGCGCGATCCTTTTCTGTTGTTAACTGCAGAAAATGGGGGGAAACTCGGAAGACTCAGGTGAGGACTCGGTGCCGGGCGCGGGCCCACGCCGTAATCCCTACCACCGGGAGACCCAGGTCTGAGGATCGCGGTTCGAAGCCAGCCCCGGGAAGAAAAGCCTGAGAGGGGCTGGGAAGGTGGCTCAGTGGTAGAGCGCTTGCCTTGCATGCCTGAGGCCCTGGGTTCGATTCCTCAGCACCACAGAAGAAAAAAGAAAAAAGCCGGAAGTGGCGCTGTGGCTCAAGTGGTAGAGCGCTAGCCTTGAGCTGAAGAGCTGAGGGACAGCGCCCAGGCCCAGAGTTCAGGCCCCACAACCGGACCCAAAAAAAAAAAAAAAAAGCCTGAGAGACTCAGATCTCTTTATTTGCCAGGCCTGGGTCTTGAACTCGGGGCCTGGGCGCTGTCCCTCAGCTCTGCAGCTCAAGGCCAGCGCTCTACCACTTGAGCCACAGCGCCACTTCCGGCTTTTTCTGCTTGTGTGGTGCTGAGGAATCGAACCCGGGGCCTCATGCATGCAAAGTGAGCACTCTACCACGGAGTCACCTTCCCAGCCCTGACACTAATATTCATCTCCAATAAACTACCTCCTAAAAAAGCCAAAAGTGGAGCCGTGGCTCAAGTAGTAGAGCACCAGCCTGGAGCCAAAGCAGCTCAGGGACAACACCCAGACCCCAAATGGAAGGATCTGCAGATAGGAACACACTAGCTAGCGCTCACACTCAAAAGAAAGTCTTCTGACAGCCAGACTCAGGTGCCCCCCACCTATAATCCCATTTTCTCAAGGCAGAGATCTGAGGATCATTGTTCTTTGCCAAGCCAAACCCAGCTTGAAAGTTCCCTTAGCCACCTGTTTTACCATTCACTAAAAAAAAGGCAGAGGTGGAGGGGCTGGGAAGGTGGCTCAGTGGTAGAGCACTTACCATAAGCAAAAAGAGAAAAAAAGCCGGAAGTGGTGCTGTGGCTCAAGTGGTAGAGCGCTTGCCTTGAGCTGAAGAGCTGAGGGACAGCGCCCAGGCCCCAAGTTCAGGCCCCACAACCGGACCCCCCCCCAAAAAAAAAGGCAGAGGCGGAGCACTAGCTCGAATGGTAGAGCACTGGGCCTTGGGTGGAAAAAGCTGAGGGACAGCAGCTGCCCCCCTGAGTTCAAATCCCAGTACCAGCACACACACACACACATTTGGAAGAGCGTTTTATTAGTAAAGGTCTGTCTCCAGGGTCTGCGTGGGTGTAGGCCCCATATACAACATCCCCAAAGTCCCAAGGCACCAAAGCTGCCTCAGTGTGACCCTGCCAGACAAGTGGGTTCTTCCCAGAGCTGTGGAGGAGACCAAGGCCAACATTCTCAACAGAAAGCTCTTCTGATTCCCAGAGAAGAGATAACCACAAACTTGTTTTCCCCCCAGGGACTTCTGATCAAGTGGAGACAAGCCAAGAATCCTAAAGTTAAAGGTCACAGCACTTTGAAAACCACTGCTTTGGGGCTGGGAAGGTGGCTCAGTGGTAGAGTGCTTAAAGCCCTGGGTTTGATTCCTCAGCACCACATAAGCAGAAAGTGCCAGAAATGGTGCTGTGGTTCCAGTGGTAGAGTGCTAGCCTTGAACAAAAGAAGCTCAGGAACAGTGCCCAGGCCCTGAGTTCAAGCCCCATGACCCACCCCACCCCCCAAAAAAAAAGATCAGGCTAAGTGCTAAGCCATGGATGCATGGAGAAAAGAAAATGCAGGTATATATGTGATGGAATATTATTCAGCTATTAAAAAGAATGAAATCCTGTCAGGTATAGCACAATGGAAGGAACTAGAAGGCACTTTAAGTAAAAGGAGCCAGACGCAGAAAGACAAAAGACCACAATACCGGCGCCAGTGGCTCACGCCTGTCATCCTAGCTACTCAGGAAGCTGAGATCTGATGATCATGGTTCAAAGCCAACCAGGGCAAGAAAGTCCATGAGACTCTTATCTCCGATAAACTGTTCAGAGAGCTGGAAGTGGAGGGGGGCGCTGGCTACAGCAGCAGGCACACTTGTGAGCGCTTGTTGGGGTTCGTTTCCTTCTCCCGGGCCTCTGAGCCGGGGTCCTGAGCTGATCCCGCACCGGCCACCAGCTCTTCTCTCCTCCTGGTCTTCACCATCCACACAGCCTTCTGGAAGTTCTGCAGGGCATCCTGCGGCGAGGCACTGGCCGCTGGGCACTGGAACCGCACCCGGATGAGCCGGCCCTGCCTGGTGGGAGCCAGGAAACCATTGGCCGTGGGGATGATCCTGTTCACCACGGCGTGGACGAACTGGACTGTCAGCAGAGAGCCTGTGGAGTGATCCGCAGAGGACTCATGAGAAGGCCAGCAGCCGGGCACGGTGGCCCATACCTGTAATCCCTGCTGGAAGCCACCCAGCTGCATCCTCCAAGACCAGCGAGTGAAGAAAGAACACGGAGGAAGACCATGGACTCACCATCCAGTGCTCTCCACACGAGGATTGAGCCGTCCCTCCAGGCTGAGAACAGGTACTTGTCGTCTTGGGAGAAGCACACGCACTGGACACCCCTGATGATGGAGCCCTGTGGAGAACACACCCCAACATCCCGACTGCACCCCCAGAAACACTGGCCAAAGGAGACCCAGGACCCAGAAGTAGATTAAAAATAATAGCACTGTTTTTTCTCTTTTTGTCTTAGACGGGGTCTGGCTCTGTTGATTGGCTAGACTAGAATTCATGATCCTTGCTGGGATTACACTCGGATGCCACCATGCTCAGCTGATTGATTTCCTCTGTCCCCCGGAACGGAGGTGAGTGTATCTCTTACCTTATCTTACATCCTTATTCTGGTATTTAATATGCACCAACTGGGCCTGGTGCCAGCCACTCACACTTGTAATCCCAGCGACTCAGGAGGCTGATAGCTCTTCAGCTATCACAGTTCAAAGCCAGCCTGAGCAGGAAGGTCTGGGAGGCTCTTACCTCCAATCCTGTACCACCAGGAAACCAGAAATGGAACTGCGGCTCCAAGTGGTAGAGCACTAGCCTTGAGCAAAACAGAGCTCAGAGATAGTGCCAGGCCCTGAGTTCAAGCCCTAGAACTGACTGAAAATGAAATCAAGCACCAGCTGCTGGTTTGTCCCCGCGACGTAACCCCGCGTTCTCAGGACTGGGGCGTGGTGGTCCACGCACCATGTAACTCATCTCGAGTTTGCACTGGCAGGTGCCCAAGTCCCACAGACACAGCAAGCCTTCCTCGGAGCCGCTCACCGCCAGCTGCCCCCCGTGGCTGACCTCCACGCACGAGACTCTACTGGCGTGGGCCTCCAGAGGGCACACCTTGGAACTGGCACACTCGTACAGGAAGAGGTCGCCGTGGGTCATGCCATAGGCCACGCGGGAGTCGGCCAGCACGGCCACAGTGGCGATGGTGTCAGGGAGCTGGGTGTAGAAGGTGAACGTGGGGCCATCGACGACCGGGCAGGGGTCCCCGGGCCCGACGCCCAGCACCAGGACCATGTTGTTGTAGGCCACGGCCAGCCGCTCCTCCTCCTTGCTCAGTGCCATGCAGGTGACGGCCTTCCGGGCCTCGGGGGGAGGGATGCACAGGACGTCCTGCGTGGAGTTGAGGGGGAACACCAGCACGGCCCCCGAAACCAGGCCAGCGAATAGGAGCTTGGTTTGCTCGGCCACCTCCAGACACCGGACCTCACTGGACGTGTCCAGCGCGCCGCGCGCCTCGCCTAGCCCCAGAGACAGACGACACGGCTTCGCTGAGCCGCCTGCCCCCGGGACTTGTTCTTTGGGGGTACCCAGGGAGCTGGGGTACAGCACCCCACTCCGGAGGGACACGCCCCAACCCCCCTCTGAGCTTCCGATTGCTTACGGAATTCCTCGTGATTTGGTTTTGAGCCACAGCTCTACTTCCTGCTGCTTTTGTGATTAATTGGAGATGAGAATCCCGGGGCTGGGAAGGTGGCTCCGGGGTGGAGCGCTCGCCTCGCATGCATGAGGCCCTGGGTTCCATTCCTCAGCTCCACAGTCACAGAAACAGCCCGAAGGGGCGCTGTGGCTCAAATGGTCGAGCACCAGCCCTGAGCAAAAGAGCTCAGGGACAGCGCCCCAGGGCCCAAGTTGGAGCCCCACCAACAACAAAAATAATAGTAACGATAGCAGTGATCGTTGAAAGACCCCAGAGTTGTGTGATCCACCCACCCGCGTCCTGTCCCAGCAAGGGACGGTGACCCAGGACCCTGGTGCAGGTCAGGCTGTCCAGATGTTGGATGCGAGCCCCTGTTGGGGCGGACGAGCATTGGGGACGGGTGCCCGCCCCGCATGGAATTCCGACATCCCCGGGCACCGGGTACCCACCCTCCGCCAGGTCCCAGATGGTGACTTGGTTTTTCTCGCCGACTCCGGGAAAGTAGACGTAGCTTCCGTTGTGAGACACGGCCGTGAGCCCCGTGCGGTCCGGGAAGGGGGCGCAGGCCCCGCGCTGGCGGGCCCGGCTGACATCCCAGGCCCTGAAGGTGGAAGACCACCGCGAGGCCCCGACCACCAGCGCCCCCGCCCGGACCAGCGTGCCCAGCGGCGCCCCCACACCATCCAGGAGGCCCAGCAGCGCGCCCTGCTCCGACAGGCTCCACACCTGAGGATGCAGACCAGAGGGGCGGCAGGCACCGTGGCTCACGCCTGTAATCCCAGCTACTCTCCCGCCCCGCTGCTGTCTGGCCCCAGCTCAGCTTTGTGGCTTTTTGTGCCATTGGGCCAAAGAATGTTGAAGAATCTGTTTTTCTTCCAGAGCAGGATGGCGGGGGAGGGGGGATGGAGGTCCTGGATCAACCCTCACCTGAATGAGGGCGTCCCGTGATGCAGTGACAATCAGGTTATTCTTAGGACCGAAAACAGCTGTCTCAACCGCGTCCTCGTGTCGCAGGTCAGTAGCCAGGAATCGCTGGAAACCCTGGGCGTCGGCCAGAAAGATCCGCACAGATTTCCCGAAACCTGCAGCAGCACAGACCCGGTCACACGGCGCGGGACTTCCCACGCCAGGAGAAAGTGAGTTAAAAAACGAACTTAAGAAGTAATTTAAACTTAATGTTAAAAAGTAATTTAAGAAAACACACAAAAATTCTCTTCTTCATGAGGTGAGGGCTTGGGGTGGGGGGGGGGGCGGTGTACAAGTGTGCGAGTGGAAAGGCTCGGAGTTTCCAGGCCAGGCCAGCCAGCCCTGGCTTCCCGGGAATTCAGATCCATCCAGGATGTGAGCTGATCCCACCCAAAACTTCCCGGGAGCCTGGAGGTAAACTGAGGTTTATACAAACTGTAAGCTGTTTACCGTTTAGCTCAGATTCCAAACATGAGCCCAGCCCAGCGGCTCACGCCTGGCATCCCAGCTACTCAGGAGGCTGAGATCTGAGGATCTCAGTTCAAAGCCAGCCCGGGTAGGAAAGTCCGTGAGACTCTGACCTCCCTGCTGTGGACATGACGTCTGTCCTGCAGCTGTGGAGATTTTGGGGGACCCCTAGCTAAGCGAGGAGCCGATAATTTCCCAAAGGCGGGCACCCCAGCACCCAGTACTCCTCCATGTCACCTGCAGCCAGGAGAGATCCGTCTTCCGACACCTCTACCAAGCCCACAGCTTCTGGAAGCTTCTCCAGCAATCTGTCTCCCTTCGAGGAAATCTGGGCAGAGACAAGGCTGGCTGTCAAGTATTTTGCCAGGGCTGAGGGCGAACAGCTCAAATGTTTAATTCCCCACCCCCACCCCCAGCTGCACAAATCTCTTTCCCCCTTCCCTGCCCCCCATGCCTCAGTTTCCCCTGTTAAATGAAAAGTGATACCAAGAAGCTGAATTGTGTGGACAAACGTTTCCCTACCAACATGGAGGCTGTCATCACTGGTTAACATTATTGTCGCTGGGGATATAACCCACCACCACAAAGACAGAGAACATTCTAGAATTCACTATCTGCCTGTGCCAGGAGTGCTGGCATTCCACACGAGATAAAAACAGGCTGGAAGCCAGGCGCCAGTGGCTCATGCCTGTCATCCCAGCTACTCAAGAGGCTGAGATCTGAGGATCGCGGTTCAAAGCCAGCCTGGGCAGGAAAGTCCGTGAGACCCTTATCTCCAATGAACCACCAGAAAACTGGAAATGGCACTGTGGCTCAAGTGGTAGAGTGCTAGTCTTGAGCAAAAGAGCTCAGGGACAGCGCCCAGGCCCTGAGTTCAAACCCCAGCACCGACAAAAAAGAAAAAGAAAAGGCCCAGGTTGGAACAGAAGAAGGAATGTGGTTGGGATGTGGGTCATGGGGTGGAGTTTCTAGAACTCTCCATCCTCTTGATCCCTCCCGAGTCTGGATTACGGGCGTGAGCTACAGCACCTGCTCTGGAGATGGGGTAATACTGACGTCCTGGGTCACAACGCCGCTTACCAGGGAGACAGAGCCGTTGCTAAAGCCAGCGACCACGGTGCCCTGCTTGTGGAGGGGAGCGGCGCACGTGGGGGTCTCTCCCCGGACGCTGCTCAGACGCTGCTTGCCCTGGAGCGCGCCCGAGGCTGCGCTCCACACGCTGACCACGCAGGCCCGGGACACGGTCAGCAGCCGCGTGGGGGCCGCCAGCCAGGCCGCGCACAGCCAGGGGTCCGAGGCCTCGCCCAGGACACGGAACAGCAGCGCCGCCGTCTCCAGCGCCCACGCGCTGATCTAACCAGGAGCCAAGGGGAGATGTCACACACCACTCACTCCTTCCAAATGCCAGTCCCGGGGTTCGAACCCGGGGCCTGGGCGTTGTCTGGAAGGAGCTTGTGTGCTCGGCGCTGGCGCTCTGCCCCTTGAGTCACAGCACCACCTCTGACTTTTGCAGTGGTTCGGTGGAGAGGAGAGTCTCCCTGACTTTCCTGCTCCGGGGCTGGCTTTGAACCTCGGGCCTCCGATCTCAGCCTCCTGAGGAGCTGGGATGACGGGCGCGAGCCTCCGCCTCCGTCTGGGAGCTCTTTGGTCCCCCCTTTCCCGAGGGACCCGGCACCCATTACCTTTGACCCCGACGCCAAGTACAGGACTTGCTTTGCTTCGTCCACGTGGAGGCTCCGGGTCTGGGGCTCGGTGGAGTTTGCTGCGCCTCCGTCCCAGATGCTGAGCTGCTGCTGGCCGGACAGCAGCCCCCACACGCGCAGCGTGCGGTCCGTGGAGGCGGAGACGGCGCGGGCGCCCTGCGCGAACACCCGCACGCACCACACCTCGCCTGCAGCGGGGCACGGTGGGCGCCGGGTGAGGGCCGACCCACCCACGCAGTCCGCTCAGAACCCTGTCCTCCCACGTGGCTGGGGTTACAGGTGTGCGCGCCGGCGCCCGGCTGAGATGTGTTTCGAAGGGCTGTGAGTTTCTGCGGTAGTTCTCGGCTCAGCTCTCTCTCAAATCACTGAATGAGCCAGGAGGGACCCCCGCCCCCCCCCCCCCGCGTCCTGAGCCCCACCTGAGTGTGCGGGGAGGAAGTGGACCGGGCATTCCTCTTCCACGTCCCACATGGCCACCACACCGTCGTGCGTGCCAAGCACCAGCAGCCGCTGCTCCTGGCTCCAAGCCACGGCGGTGATGCCTAGGGCCCCACGGAGACAGATGACTGCCTGGAGTTCAGCGCCGGTGGCGTGAGTTCGAGGCCAGCCACGCGGTGGGCAGCAGCAGGAGGGGGGGTTCCAGCCCGCCTTCTGTGTCTGTACCCATCCTGGGTCTTGAACTCAGGGCCCTGGGCACCGTCCCTCAAGGTGCGTGCTCTACCGCTTGAGCCACAGCTCCACGTCCAGCTTTTTGCTGGTTCATCAGAGAGGAGAGTCGCAGGGACTTTCCTATCCGGCTGGCGTGACCCCCATCCTGACGAGCTTCCAGGCGGGGAGCCACGCCGCTCTGCTCGCGAGCAGACACAGGGCGCTGGGTCCTCAGCACCCCTGGATCCGGCCCAGCCCGCCACGTGAGCCCACCACCGCCAGGCGCGGCCACCATGGTGGCCCCAGTGACAGCCACGGCGGGGGGCACTCGGACCCCAGCCCCCCTCCGCCATGGGTGACTCGGGGTCACGTGCGGTTGTGGGGAAGGGACGAGACTTCTCGCCAAGCCTAGTCTAACAGCCCCTTCCTTCAAATCCCCGGCTGAAGGGAAGGCCTGGCGGGCCTAGGGGTTGCTAGGCACCCGGCCACGGGCATTATGGGATGGCAGCCTGGCACATGCGCAGATCCCTTCAGAAAAATAATTCTGCCAAGTCATGCTCCCTCCCCCCAGCCCCCCCGGCCCCCTCCCCCTCCACAGGCTGACATTTTGTATCGAGGCGCTGGGCTGCAGCACAGCCCCCCAGCCCCCACTGCCGGGGTGTTCTCTCCAAGGCCTGGCCTTCTGTGGATGGGGAGGCCAGGAATCCGGGGCGCCCCCCCACACCCCAGGAACACCTTAGTGCTGCCCACCCCCCCCAAAAGCTGTCCACTGACACCTTTTGGCAGACCCCGAGGAGACAGATGGACACCCTGTATTTTGGGCACATATAACCCCTGCCTGGCACTAGCAAGGTGTGTCTGCGCCGTGCCTCAGTTTCCCCACTCAGGGAGTGGCTGGCTGTAAAGTCAGGGCCACTGCCGACCTGGAGGAGTCAAGGCCTCATGGAGGAGACATGGGGGGCAGGGTAGGACCTCCGTGTTTTTGTTCTCAGGCCTAACATGGGGTCTTGTCACTTTTTTTTCTGAACCCAGAGTGGGGAGAAAGCTTCTCAACAGGGACCTGGCTTAGAGAGCCAGCCCGAGCCCCCCAGGCCGGACACACTGGCTCAGACCAACAAGACACCGGACGTGCAGCAAAGTCCCTAACCTGGCTGGTGGCTCACGCCTGTAATCTCAGCCACTCTCGGGAAGCTGAGATCCGGAGGATCACAGTGGCAAGCCATCCCTGGGGAAGTGCACGAGGCTCTTACATTTCCAATTACCCACCAAAAAGAAAGGAAATGGAGCAGAGCGCCCACCTGCACAAAAACCGCTCTCCGAACAAACCCCAGGCCCTAAGTTCAAGCCCAGGTCCTGCACAAAAAGAAAAGGAAAGAAAGGAAGGAAGAGGGAGGGAGGGAGGGAGGGAGGGAGGGAGGGAGGGAGGAAGGAAGGGCGAAAGGGAGGAAGAGAAGCGGGCAGCCCGTGGCAGAGCTGGCTAGGTAGGGTAAATTGCACAGTTCAATAATAAAGTGGGGAGACTCTGCGTGTGGGCCCCAGAAAAGCAGCTCCCAAAGAGAATTGCCTCACTCCCCCCTGCCCCCCAGAACAGAACGCGGCCTCCACACGCACACCCTGGTTTTTGCATTTTACATCCCCCAGTTCTTTTCTTCTGCTAGTGACCCTGGCGCAAGGCTGGGGAGGGGAGGGACCTGATGGAGGACTGCAGCCACAGCTCTTCTCTGATTGGCTGATTCCTTACACCTCATTTGCATGGGGTGCGCTCTCCTGTGCTGGCCAGCTTGGCTCAGCCCCTCTTCTGCTGAGGTTTGTTTTGGTTTTTGCTTGCTAGGTGGTGGGTGCTGCCCATTCGCTTTTTTGCCCAAAGCTGGCATTCTGCCACTTGAGCCATCTGATTATAGGCAGCGTGAGCCACTGGCACCTGCTCTGTTTAAGCTGTTATTATTATTCTTTTTTTGTGCTGGTCCTGGGGTTGGGCTCAGCTCCTGGGCACCGTCTCTGAGCTTTTGTGCTCAAGGCTAGCGCTTTGTCACTTGAACCCAGCATGATGGGACAAATTCCTATCTGTGGATGTCACCTCTCCCATCTACCAGACAAGAACTGGAGGAGGAGGAGGCTGCAGTGTCTGCTGGACAGCAGGAGCAGGAGTGGGAGGAGCAGAGGCCACAGGCTCCGCCCGTCTCCCTCCCAGCAGCCTGAACCAGCTCAAACCAGCTTGAACCACTCATCAACCTCTGCTTGAGGTCCCACGGCAAAACCAAAGCGCATCGGTTTTACCTTAATACAGTCGCCAAAGGCATTGTTGCCGGGCGCCCGTGGCTCCTGCCTGTCATCCCAGCTACTCGGGAGGCTGAGATCTGAGGATCACAGTTCAAAGCCAGCCTGGGCAGGAAAGGCCGTGAGACTCTGATCTCCCATGAACCACCAAAAAGCCAGCAATGGAGCTGTGGCTCAAATGGTAGAGTGCCAAAGCTCAGGGACAGTGCCCAGGTCCCCTCCCCTGTGCCCATCAGTGGGGCGGAGGGGCAGTATCTGCCCCGGGAGGCAGAGACCAGGACCTTCTCCCAGCACAGCCCGCCGCCCCCATGAGCGTAGGGGCCACTCACCCTTGTGGCACCCAGTGAGGGTGGCCTGCAGGGGGCCTCCAGGGGGCTGCAAGAAGCCGGCCAGGGGCACCAGCACGGGGTGCGGGCATGCGCGGAGCCAGCTCTGGGCCTGCTGGCACAGCTGCCCCACCAGCGCGGGGTGGGACTTGGAGAAGAAAAGGAGGCGCGCCAGGAGCTCCGTGTACAGCGTGCTCTTCTCTAAAGGAAAGGGAACGCTTGTTAGGTGTCACACAAACCCCGTCCCCCAGACCTCCACGGGATCCCTGCATGTCCTGACACCCAGGACCTTGGATTCTCCTCCCTGGCCTCTCTCCCTCCCCGCTGGGGTACACCTGTAATCCCAGCCCTTGGGAGGCTGAGGCAGGAGGATGCCAAGTTGGAGGCCAGAGGAGGTGATATGGTGAGACCCTGACTCCAAACAACAATAACCAAAAGCAAGATCAGCTGGGCGCCTGTCATCCCAGCTACTCAGGAGGCTGAGATCGGAGGCTCCCGGTTCAAAGCCAGCCCGGCAGAAAAGCCCAGGGGACTCTTATCCCCAATAAACTACTCAGAAAAAGCCAGCAGTGGTGCTGTGGCTCAAGCGATGGAGCGCCCGCCTTGAGCAAGAGAAGCTTAGGGACAGTGCCCAGGCCGAGTTCAAATCCCAGGACTGGAAAGAGAGAGAGAGAGACAGAGGAGAGGGGAGTGCGAGCTAGCTGGCACTCGGCTGGAACACCGATTCTTCTAGGATGTTGTGCTTCTCTTTGCCCAGGCTTGGGATATGTTCCGGAAGGTTCTGAGAGCACAGGGCTGTCACCTGGCGCCCTCTGGTGGTAGCCTTTGTCACTACACCTCAGCCATGTCTGGGGTGCTATGGTTTGGGAGTTGGGGTGCTGAGGGGTGATTGTGGGGTGCGGGTGCTGGCTTTAACAAGTTCTCGCCGCCAGCGAGGGGTGATCACATTTCAGCCAACACCGTGGGGTGCCAAGGTCTTGTTCTCTGCCAAGGATCGCAGCTTGAGGTCACCCCAAGCCAACTGTGAGCCAATGCAGCACCCAAAACCAAACCAAACCAAAAACCGATCACACAGCCAGTGCTGGCGGCTCCCGCCTGCCTGGCATCCCGCTACTCAGGAGGCTGCGATCTGAGGATCGCGGTTCAAAGCCAGCCCAGGCCCACGCAGGAAAGTCCGAGAGACTCATCTCCAATTAAATCATCAAAAAAATAAAAGAATTCTTTTTTTTATTAGGAGATCTGAGCCACCAATAAAAGCCTTTAACTGTATTCAATGACTACTCAGTTTTTCCTCCAAATTCAAAATCCATTTTGAGCTCCAAACTCCAGCAGCTGCTGCTGTGAAGAAACCCACTGGCTTGGCAGGGAAAGGGGAGAAGATGCAGTTTGGGAGCTTCTGGAAGTTTCCAGAAGCCAGGGCAGAGGGTGGGCTCCGGGCGGGGCGGGCCGCAGGAGCTCACCGGTGCCTCGGAGCTCCAGCGCGGGGCGGCTCAGCCGCACGGCCTCGCGGATCAGGCCGACCTCGGGGCAGCGGAGGTGCTGCGTGCAGAGGTCGAAGTCATCCAGCAGCGCCTCGGCGCCCCCCGAGAGCGCCCGGCACGCCAGCCAGCTCACGTTCCCTGCGAATGGCGGGGGTGTGGGTCGCGCCCCACGGCTGCAGGGCTGCAGGGGTGGGTGAGCTCCAGGGGTGGAGCGGGGCCTTGTGGGGTACAGAGCGACCCCCTGCACCTGCTCCCCACATGGGAGGAGACACGGCCAGCGGTCTCCAGGAGGGGGGCAGGGTGAGTGGGGGTGGATGGGAGGACAGGTGGTAGATGGGCAGGTGGGTGGGTGGACAGGTGGAGAGGTAAAGGGGTGGATTGATAGATGGATAGAAGAATAAATGTCCAGGTGGGTGGACAGGTAGGTGAATGGATGGACAGGTGGAAAGGTGGGTAGGTGGGTGGGTGGAGAGTTGGGTGTATGGATGGACAGGTGGGTGGACAGGTATGTGGGTGGGCAAGTAGGTGGGTAGATAGACAGGTGGCCTGGTGGATGAACAGGTGGACAGGTATGTGGGTGGACAGGTAGGTGGATGGATGGACAGGTGGGTGGGTGGATGGACAGGTGGACAGGTGTGTGGTGGGTGGACAGGCGGGTGGGTGGACACATAGTCGGGTGGGTGGACGTGTAGATTGCTTGGGTAACCAAGCATCTGTCATGCTGGACGAGGCCCCCGCGGCCCCCCCACATTAGTCGGGATAATCCTGGGGTGCGGTGAGCGTCCCGGGCCCCACCCCCACGTCCACCGCATGCCTCCCGCACCGGGCCCGGCTCGGCCTACCCAGCAGGTCCTGCCGCAGCTCCCGCGTGCGGCCCGCCAGCAGCAGGTGTCGGGGCAGTTCCTGCAGCCGCCGCTCGTTGGCCACGGAGTCCGAGAACCACAGCGGCTGCGGGGCCACCTGCGGGGAGAGGGACGCTGCGGGCCGGCCCCACGGCGGGAGGGGGCGGGCCCCACGGCAGGAGGGGGCGGGCCCCACGGCGGGAGGGGGCGGGCCCCACGGCGGGAGGGGGCGGGGCCCTCGGCGCGGGAGGGGGCGGGCCCCACGGCGGGAGGGGGCGGGCCCCACGGCGGGAGGGGGCGGGGCCCTCGGCGGGAGGGGGCGGGGCCCTCGGCGGGAGGGGGCGGGCCCCACGGCGGGAGGGGGCGGGCCCCACGGCGGGAGGGGGCGGGGCCCTCGGCGCGGGAGGGGGCGGGCCCCACGGCGGGAGGGGGCGGGCCCCACGGCGGGAGGGGGCGGGGCCCTCGGCGGGAGGGGGCGGGGCCCCACGGCGGGAGGGGGCGGGCCCCACGGCGGGAGGGGGCGGGCCCCACGGCGGGAGGGGGCGGGGCCCCACGGCGGGAGGGGGCGGGCCCCACGGCGCGGGAGGGGCCGGGCCCGAGGAGCGCCACGGACCTGGCCTCTGAGGATACGCAGAAAGCACTATAGAGTAACGGCCGTGCCGGGCACTGAGGCGCACAGCACATGGGGGGGCGGCCTACATGGGAGGCCCTCTCTTCAGGATGATGGAGCTGATGGTGGTGGTGATGATGATGATGATGGTAGCATAAGCACAGACCAGGAGTGTGGGCCGGCGTGGCTGGGGTGGTCTCCCCCCCCCACCCAGACCACCAGAGGAGAGACCAAGAGGAATAAACTAGGGCAGGCTGGGCTCAGTGGCTCCTGCCTGTAATCCCAGTTACTTGGGAGGAGGCAGGGAAGGGGGAGGATCGCCACTTGAGGCCGGCCCAGACGAAAAGTTCACAGGACAACCCCATCTCAATCACCAAGGGCGGGCAGGGGAGGTGGGGAGGGCAGGAGTCCCAGAGCTCCCAGCCCCCGTGATTTCCACTCGGAGCAGCGGCCAGGAGTTCCAGGCTCCCTTGAGAGACTGTTAATCCCGTTCCCGTGGGGATGCTGGGGAGGGAGGGAGGGAGGGAGGAAGGGAGGGAGGGAGGGAGGGAAGGAGGGCACACCCCACACCCACTCCCCTGCTGTCCCTGCCGCACACACCTTGCGGTCCAGGCTCAGGGGTACCCCCACAAGCGGCAGGGTGATGAGCTTCTTGGTGCCCTGGCTCCAGGCACCCGAAAAGAAATCGGCCAGGACGCTGTGCCTCTGGGCTCTCTCGGGCCCTGACAGGTAGCGCACGCTCACCACCTCAGCCAGCTGCCTGCAGGGTGGGGTGGGGCACAGGGCCGGCTGTCAGAGGCCGCCAGGTCGATCCTCACAGGTCCCTGCCTGGCACAGTGCTGCCCCCCTGGAGTCCCAGCAACTCAGAAGGGTGAGGTAAGAGGGTTACTTATCTCGGAGTTACAAGCCAATCTGGACCAAGATAGCCAGACACACCCCCATCTTTTAAAAAAGAAAAGCTGGGCGCCAGTGGCTCCCGCCTGTCAGGAGGCTGAGATCTGAGGATTGTGGTTCAAAGCCAGCCCGGGCAGGAAAGTCCGTGAGACTCTTATCTCCAATAAACCACCAGAAAACCGGAAGTGGCGCTGTAGCTCAAGTGATAGAGCGCCAGCCTTGAGCTGAAGAACTCAGGGACAGCGCCCAGGCCCATGACCGACAGAAGAAGAAGAAGAAGAAGAAGAAGAAGAAGAAGAAGAAGAAGAAGAAGAAGAAGAAGAAGAAGAAGAAGAAGAAGAGAAAGAAACAAAACAAGGGCAAGGGCTGGCACTGGCGGCTCACGCCTGTAATCCCAGCCACACAGGAGGCTGAGATTTGAGCATCGCAGTTGGAAGCCAGCTTGGGCAGGAAAGACTCGTGAGACTCTAATCTCCAATAATAATAATAGCAACAGAAAGCCAGACTGGAGCTGTGGCTCGAGGTGTAGAGCCCCTGCATGGCCTGCTGGAGGCCTTAGGCTCACCCCAGCTTCCGGGCCCCCCGAGCCCCACGTTCACTGTGTGCAGGGTGCACACCACGCGGGCATCGCCCCAGGACCCGCTTCCAGGCGAGGTCTGGTTTTCGGGTCTCCTACCTGTGGGCAAGGGTGAGGAGCTGGCCGCCGTCCGCGGGCCTCCGGGCCAGGCAGAGGCCCAGGTCCCTCCGCAGCCGCACCCAGAGCAGGGGCGGGAAGCGCAGCAGCCGGCGGCTGGGTGGCGTCCAGGCCCGGTACGCCTCGCACAGCAGCTCATCGTCCAGGGACAGCACATCCTTCAGTTCCGCCTCCGACAGCCCGAACCTGCGGGGCCGGGAGGCTGGGCCTCGGGCCTGGGGCTCCCAGCGCCCCCAGATCCAGCACCCGGCCAGGGCCAAGGCCAGAGGGGCCCTGGCCCCCCCCTCCCCTCCTCCTCTTCCTCCTGCTTGTCTGCCTGTGTTCCCTGCTGACCCAGGCCACTCCTGCAACCCAGGTTCAACAGAAAATCTGGGGTGCGTTGACCAGGACCAGCTAAAGGTGGGACACCCCAGATTCCTGTGGGGTACAGCATGCCTTCCTTCCCTCACCCTTCTTCTTCTTTTTTTTTTTGTCACATGGGGCCTGAACTCTGGGCCTGGGCGCTGTCCCTCCACTCCTCAGCTCAAGGCTGGCGCTCTACCCCTGAGCCACCTTCCAGCCCTTTACTGACACCTCCCGCTGCCACGCGCTGAGCACTGATGGATACTTCGCCGCAGTCTGGAAATGGCGGCTCTGCCCAGGCCGGGAAGCCACAGCCGTGGACAACCCTCCACCCATGACTGAGACCGTCTGTACATGTGAAATGACTTCCAAGTAAAAACTGGGCTAAAAGAAATCCTTTGGGGCTGGGAAGGCGGCTCAGTGGTAGAGCGCTGGCCTTGCATGCATGAGGCCCTGGGTTCAAGTCCTCGGCAGCACATAAGCAGAAAAAGCTGGAAGTGGCGCTGTGGCTCAAGAGGTAGAGCTCTAGCCTTGAGCTGAAGAGCTGAGGGACAGCGCCCAGGCCCAGAGTTTAGGCCCCACGACTAGCAAAAAAAAAAAAGAAGGAAAGAAACAAATCCTTTGGCTGGGCTCCAGTTGCTCTTGCCTGCCATCCTAGCTACTCAGGAGGCTGAAATCTGAGGATTGAGGTTCAAAGCCAGCCTGGGCAGGAAAGTCCAGGAAATTCTGATCTCCAATGAACCACCAGCAAACCGGAAGTGGTGCTGTGGCTCAAGCAGTAGAGCGCTAGCCTTGAGCTGAGGAGCTGAGGGACAGCGCCCAGGCCCAGAGTTCAAGACCCATGATCAACCAAAAAAAAAAAAAAAAAATCCCTTGGCCTGGGTACCGGTGTGGTAATCTTAGCCACTCAGGAGCCTAAAACCTGAGATCTGAGATCTGGAGGCTCGTGGTTCAGTACTGGGGGCTGTGATTAGGGTGTTACATGGTTCACACATATAAAAACATCACCATAAAACCCTTTTGTACCACTGAAACAGGCTAATAAAAAGGAAAAAAGAAAAAGCAAGCCGGGCCCTGGAGGCTCACGTCTGCAAATCCCGGCGACTCTGGAGTCTCACTTGTGAGGACCACGGTTCAAAGCCAGCACAGGCAGAAAACTCCACGAGACGCCCTGATCTCTAAGCAACCGCCAAAAAGCCAGAAGTAGAGCTGTGGTTCAAGTGGGAGAGCGCCCGCCTTGAGCCAAATCAATAAGCCCAGAGATGGTGGCGCCCAGGCCCTGAGTTCAAGCCCTGGGACCGACACCAGAAAAACAATCATCAGGGACCCCCCCTCCTGCCCCCGCCCCTCCCCCCTCCCGCCCTCCCCTGTCCCTCTCACCCCCTCTCCCGTCCCCCCCCCCAGGCTCACCGGGAGGCGGCGATGTAGCCCAGCACATGGGACACCAGCAGCTGCCCGTGCGCATCCTCCAGGCGCGCGCACAGGTGGTGCGTGGCCTCCTCGGCGGTGCCGGCCAGCGGGGCGGGCACGGTGAAGGAGGCCCAGCGGCGGGCCTCCTCGAAGGCCAGCCTCAGCCGGCCGGGGTGGCCGCAGTCTGGCAGCCAGGCCCAGAGCGCGGCCTGCTGCGCGGGGCTCAGCGCCCTCCCGGCGGCCGCCAGCAGGCCGCGCACCAAGTCCTGCCCGGGGCCGGCGGCCAGCGGCGGCACCTCCACGAAGGCGTCGGCGTCCTGGATCTTGGCCCGCAGCGCGTCCAGCGCGTGCCGTGGCCGCCGCCGGCCCCCGGAGCAGGCGGACAGCACGACGTGGACCCGGGGCGGGCAGCGGGCGGGCAGCCAGGGGAGCGGGTCGCGGCCGGGGCCCAGGCCGTCCAGCGCGTCCACGTCGTCCAGCACCAGCACCAGGGACTCGCAGTCCCGGCGGGCCGCGGCGTGCAGCAGCGCCTGCAGGAACTGCGCCAGGCGGCCGCGGCGGGCCAGCACCGGGCCGGGCGGCGGCGGCAGCCCGAAGGCCAGGCTCAGCTGCAGGGCGAGGGAGCGGGGCAGCGCGCCGGGGTCCACGCTGCTCCCCGACGCCCCCAGCACCCGCAGCGCGGTGACCGCCTTGCGGCCCAGCAGCCCCGGCGCGCCGCCCGCCAGCGCGCACAGCAAGGCGGTCTTCCCCACGCCCGGGGCCCCGAAGAGCACGAGCGGGGGGTGCGGGCGCTGCTCCCCGTCCCGCAGCCGCCGCCCCAGCCGGGCCAGCAGCTCCTGCCGGCCGCACAGGGGCGCCGCGGCCTCGGCGGCCTGGCGCCGCTGGTGCACGCGCAGCTCCTCGAAGAGCCAGGCCTGGTCCCGCGGCGCCCCCCGCGCCCCCAGCCCCGCGCCCCGCTCCCCCAGCCCCGCCAGGATCTGGAGACGGGCGCTGGCCACGAACTGCTCGCCCAGGCCCCGGAGGTAGCGGGCATGGGCCTTGTTCTTGGGGTTCAGCAGGTCCCGGCTCCACGGCAAGGGGTGGGCCTGCATGATTTCGGGGTGCTCCTCCGCCAGGCGTTCCTTGAGGCGCTGCAGGAGGCCCCGGGCCCCCGTGTCCGGGCAGCCGTCGGGCAGGCGGTCCAGCGCCAGGAGCGCGCACTCGTCCAGCAGGTGCTTGTCGAGGTCCCGGATCTCCCGCAGGAACACGGTGACCCCCCGTGCCGCCGCCCCGGGCCGCAGCACCCCAACTTCCAGCTCCCACTCGAGGACTGCAAGAGCCACAGCGGGGAAAGAGTGGACACCACGGCCACTGGCCGGCCCGGGGTGGCCGGAGAGACGCTGGTGTGTGTGAGAGTGAGAGTCCTGGGGCTTGAACTCAGGGCCTGGGCGCTGTCCCTGAGCTTTTTCTGCTCATGGCTGGTGCTCTACCACGTGAGCCACAGTGCCACTTCAGCTTTTTGGTGATTCTCACTGACTTTCCTGTCCAGGCTGGCTTTGAACCGTGATCCTCAGATCTCTGCCTCCTGAGGAGCTAGGATCACAGTGACAGCAATGGGGCCTGGCTCTGACAGCTGGTATTTTCTAGACCCAAGGGCAGGCCTCCTCTCAGGAGGCAGTGTTGTGAAGGCAATGGGGGTGTTATTTTTGGAGGCGCTCTGGGCTCCTCCATTGTTCGCTTGCAGCTCCCAGTGGCTGATCGCACCAGGCCCTAGAGACAGGCTCCAAATCCAAGTCAAAGACAGCAACCATGCCAAAGCCAACCCTTGGCCGGGCTCACGCTGCTGGCTCACACTTGTCATCCTAGCTACTCAGGAGGCTGAGATCTGAGGATTACGGTTCAAAGCCAGCCTGGGCAAGAAAGTCTGTGAGACTCTTAATGCCAATGAACAAGCAAAAACCAGAAGTGGCACTGTGGCCCAAGTGGTAGAACACCAGCCTTGAGCGAAAAAGCTCAGGGACAGCGCCCAGGCCCTGAGTTCAAACCTAAGACACACACACACACACACACACACACACACACACACACCCCTGAAACCCTTTTCCATAGCCGTGGAGCTACACCCACTCGGGCTACCACTCTTCCCCAGTGAGGCCCACGGGCGTCCCCAGCCTCACCTGACCGATGGTAGCGATGCCACTGCTCCTGGCTGAGGAGGCCCAGCCTCCGGGCCTCCAGCGCACCGGCCTGGAGGACAGAGGCCAGCGAGGCCTCCTCGGGCCCCCGGGCCTCGCCCACGTCTGGCTCCTGCAGGACGTAGGTGGGCGGCACTGCGTTCTCGTCCCTCTGGAAGCGGCGAGCCACCAGCTCCAGGTCCCGAGGCCGGGCACGCAGGGAGCCCGCCAGCGCCTCCCACTCCCGCTCCTCGATCAGCCCCGGGACAGGGCAGGGGCCATAGCGGTCACCCAGCAGGGCCTGGGGGGGACATCGGACACATGTGGACACTACACCGCGGGTGAGGCAGCCCGCGCTCCCATCCCAGGGCAGGGGGTAAACCCTGGGAAACCATGACCCGGGCACAGGTAGCTGGGCGTGGCGGCTCCCGCCTGTCAGCTCAGGGACTCAGGAGGCTGAGATCTGAGAATCTTCGTTCAAAGCCAGCCCGGGCAGGAAAGTCCATGAGACTGTTACCTCCAATGAACCACCAGAAAACTGGAGGTGGCGCTGTGGCTCAAGTGGCAGAGCACCCACCTAGAGCTGAAAAGCTGAGGACAGCACCCAGGCCCAGAGTTCAGGCCCCACGACCGACGACAACAACAGATAATAAATAAACAAGGAAGTAAAATAAGTGACTAAATAAAATAAAATAGATTAATAAATTAAGTTCCATCAACAAGACATAAAAAGAGAAAGGAAGCTAAAAAAGCCTGGGGGCCCTGACTCAACTGGAAGAGCACCTGCCTGGCTGCGCAAGGCTGCGGCTCCATGCCAGGCTCCCGGCCACACACACACACACACACACACACACACACACACACACGCACACGCACACGCACTCGTACACACGCACACAGGCACGCACACGCACACCCACACACCCACACACACAGCACTGGCATGTGTGCAGGATCTGAGCAGGGACTATTACAACTCCCCAGGAGCCTCTTGGGGCATGCCCCCCTCCTTCCCCCCCTCCCCATGAGCCTGCCTGGCTGATGGCTGCCTAATGACCTGGTTACTAGGGCGCCAGGCCAGGCGCCCGGGGAGTCATGGGAGATCCCCGGTTGGGAGTGTGGGGAGGAACGGGGGGTGCCTGGCTCAGGAGGGGGGCAGGAAGACGCGGGGGGGGCACCAGTCCTGGGCCTTGGAGAGACTCCAGGGATGGCTGGAGGCACCGCCCCCCCCCGTGTGCGCCCCGCAATCACAGGCAGAGAAAAGCACAAGGCAGCTGGGCCCTGAAACACCAGGCCCTGACGGGCGCAGGCGCACTGCTACTTGAGCCAAACCTCGAACCCTTCCAGCCTCAGTTAAATAGTTTGGATGGGGTCTCGCTGGTTGCTCAGGGTCAGAAGTAAAGCCAGTCCTAGGCCTGGCTTCCTTTGAAAGGGGATCACAGGTCTCCGCCACCGTCTCGGCCTTAGTGATTCAGATGAGGTCTCATTAACTTTTTTGCCCAAGCCTTAAACCAAGATTCTCCCAATTTTTACCTCCTGCGTAGCTGGGATTACCGTGTGTCCCACTGATTGGCTTAAAAAAATGTGGGTGCTGGGAAGGTGGCTCAGTGGTAGAGTGCTAGCCTGCCTTGCCTGCATGAGGCCCTGGGTTTGATTCCTCAGCACCATATAAGCAGAAAAAGTTGGAAGTGGCGCTGTGGCTCAAGTGGTAGAGTGCTCGCCTTGAGCTGAAGAGCTGAGGGACAGCGCCTAGGCCCAGAGTTCAGGCTCCACAACCGACGAAATCAAACAAAACAAACAAAAGTTTCAAAAGCTGTCTTGCCTGGTCTGGCTTTGAACTGTGATCTTCAGATCACAGCCTCCTGAGGAGCCAAGATTATAGTTGTGAGCCACCAACGCCCAGCTTCTTTTGGAAATTCAGCCCAATCTTTCACTGGAAAATTAAATCTAAAACGCTGGAAATAGAACTATGAAGGAAGGGATTTGCAAGCCTGCGTCATGGGCTGGGAATGTGGAAGGGGGCTCAGTGGTAGAGCGCTAGCCTTGAGCAAAGAAGCTCAGAGACAGTGCCCAGGCCCTGAGTTCAAGCCCCCAACCGACAAAAGAGATACAAAAACAAAAAAACAATCTGGACAGCTTGCTATCTGCATCAGCATTCGACTTCTAATGTCTGGGCCCAGCTAGCATGGGAGGGAAGGAAGAGGGCTGTGATGGACTGGTAATGTCTGCCGTGGGCAGGGTAGGGGATGTGTGGGTGGGTAGGGATGGGCCCGCCCTGTGGTGATGGACAGACTCACGACGAAAGTGGGCCCTATGGATGTTTCCTGACACCGGCTGAGTTCCTCCAGGCAGAGTTCAGTCATGGTGTAGTCTGAGACATCTGCTTCCCGAACACCCCACCTCAGATCAACCACCTGGGGGTGAAAAGCACACAGGTTTGGTTGGGGCTGGGGTGACGGGAAGGCTCTGTTTATCATCATCACCACTGACAGCCTGGGACGCTCTCAGCGGTTAGTTCCTGGTTATCCTGTGTGAGGCCTTGAGTTCAAATCCCAGCACTGCCAACCAAACAAAGGAACAAGTAGGAGGTGGAAATCCAGAGGATCTCAGTTTGAGGCCAACCCAGCAGAAGAGTTCACAAGACCCCATAGCAATTGATTCCTCAGCACCACATACACAGAAAAAGCCGGAAGTGAGACACCGGGGCCTGGCTTAGGATTTCTACTTTCATGGCTGCAGGGCGTGGAAGATTCGCAGGGCCCCACTGCAAGAAGCAAATGTAAGTCTCTTGTTTAGAAGACTCAAGAGGTGCCAGGTGCCCGTGGCTCGCGCCTGTCACCCCAGCTACTCAGGAGGCTGAGATCAGGATCACGGTTCAAAACCAGCTCGGGCACGAGACTCTTACTTCCAAGTAACCACCAGATAACCGGAAGTGGCGCTGTGGCTCAAGTGGTAGAGCACCAGCCTTGCGTACAAAAGCTCAGGGACAGTGCCCAGGCCCTGAGTTCGAGTCCCAGGACCAGCACAAAAGGGGGAGGGGAGAAGACACTCACCTCAAAGCCCAGGCCATGCCTCTGGCAGAAGGCTTGCACTTCGGGGTAGGCACTGAGCAGCAAGGCCTCTCTCTCGGTGTCCATGTCTGAAAGGAAAAGCTTGGATGGGGTTACGGGAGGCTCCAGGAGGCTCGGAGCCATGCCAGCAAGCTGCCTCCACCCACCCACCATGCAGGGGAGTCTGGCCACCCCAGCTTCCTCAGGAGGCTGAGGTCTGGGGATCGCGGTTCAAAGCCAGCTCGGGCAGGAAAGTCCGTGAGACTCCTATCTCCCATAAACCACCAGCAAACCTGAAGTGGCGCTGTGGCTCAAGGGGTAGAGCGCTCGCCTTGAGCTGAAGAGCTGAGGGACAGCGCCCAGGCCCTGAGTTCAAGCCCCATGACTGACAAAAAAAAAAGCTGGAAGTGGCACTGTGGCTTAAGTGGTAGAGAGTCCAGCCTTGAGTGAAAAAGCTTCAGGGCAGCATCCAGGCCCTGAGTTCAAGTCTAGCAACTGACCAAAAAGAAAAAAGAATCAGGGGAGGGGCTGGAGGGTCCCCGTGAGCCATGGGCAGACGTGGGTGTGCGGGCTCGCCCCGGGCCCAGCCCGGCCGCCTTACCTGCGGGCGCGCTGCTGAGGTAGATGGCCACGGAGCTGGGCGGCGGCGCGGGCAGCGGCCCGGCCTGGCCGTGGAGGAGCCGCCGGCGGGTGCCCGGGCTGAGGGGGCCCCCACTCATGCTGCCCCTGGGACCCCAGACCTCACAGCTCGAGCCGGGGGCCACCCGGGAGGGGCCGGCCAGGGCCGTCAGCTGCTTTGGCCTCACAATCGAGGTGTCTGCAGCTCACCCCAAGGCGCCGCTCACCCGCGTCTCCCCGGGCTCCATAGTCGCCAAGCAACGGCGGTGCAGAGGCCCGGCCCTGCGGCCTCCCCGGCCCTGCCTCCCCAGCCGCTGCCTCCCCGGGGTGGAATCGGCGCAGGGGAGGGGGAGGGGAGGAGATGCCCCATCCCCACCCTGGGGGGCGGGCTTTCTGTGATTCAGGGACATCCCAAAATGTGCTCCCCCCACAACATGACTTTTCCCCTCCCTTCTCCCCCACCCCAAACTCCAGCTGTCAATCAATGCTAGCGCCCAGCCTCCCCCCCAGCCCGCCTCCCCGCTACCTGGGAGGCTGAGAGCTGAGACGGACGTTCAGTGCCAGCCTGGGAAGCGGAGGCCACGCCTGACCAGCCCAAAGCCAGACCTGGGGGCGGGTCAGGGGCGGAGCACCACGCTGTAGCAAAAAAGCTCAAGGACAGTGCTCAGGTGCTCAGTTCAAACCCCAGGACCAACGCGCGCGCACACACACACACACACACACACACCCCTATATACACAAATACACACACGCACACATACACACATGTACATGTACACACATGCATATACACATGTATACACATACCTATACACACATACACACACATTCACATATATTTACACATGCACACATATACACACATGTCCCACAAAAAAACACAATGACCCCAAGCCCACGGATGAACTCATTTCATCATCAGGGCTTTTTTTTGGGGGGGGTCCAGTCGTGGGGCCTGAACTCTGGGCCTAGGCGCTGTCCCTCAGCTCTTCAGCTCAAGGCGAGCGCTCTACCACTGGAGCCACAGCGCCACTTCCAGCTTTTTTCTTTCTGCTTATGTGGTGCTGAGGAATCGAACCCAGGGCCTCATGCATGCAAGGCAAGTGCTCTACCACTGAGCCACCTTCCCAGCCCACCTCAGGGCTTTTATATGGACTGTAGTGAAGTTCTCCAACTTCCACTTTTTCTCTTCCTTCCCTTTTTATTATTATTGTTGTTGTTTTACTTTTTTTGTCTGTAGTGGGGCTTGAACTCTGGGCCTGGGCGCTGTCCCTCAGCTCTTCAGCTCAAGGCGAGCGCTCTACCACTTGAGCCACAGCACCACTTCTGGTTTTCTGGTGGTTCATTGGAGATAAGAGTCTCAGTCTTTCCTACATGGGCTGGCTTTGAACCAAGATCCTCAGATCTCAACCTCCTGAGCAGCTTGGATGACAGATGTGAGCCCCGGTGCCCGGCTTTGTGGTTAGTTTTGGAGGCAGGACAGGGAGTCTCTACGCACTGAGGCTGGCCTCAAACTCGCGATTCCTGCACCTCAGCCTCCCAAGTGCTGGGATGACAGCTGCGGCCACCTGCTGGGTTTTCCTTGCTGACACTGGCCCCCATTCTCCACGGGGCACTCCCGGAGGGGCCGGCCCCTGCCCTGTCCACCCCGGAGGGGCCGGCCCCTGCCCTGTCCACCCCGGAGGGGCCGGCCCCTGCCCTGTCCACCCCGGAGGGGCCGGCCCCTGCCCTGTCCACCCCGGAGGGGCCGGCCCCTGCCCTGTCCACCCCGGAGGGGCCGGCCCCTGCACTGTCCACCCCGGAGGGGCCGGCCCCTGCACTGTCCACCCCGGAGGGGCCGGCCCCTGCACTGTCCACTGGCGGCCGGGCTCTGTCACCCCGGGGCACGCAGGGAGCAATCCTCACAGCCATGGCTCCGGCCGGGGACCCTGCCTGGGGCCCTCTGCTTCCGTCCTGTTCCTGCTGCTGGGGAAGGGGTGCAGGGAGGGCAGGGGAGACGTTACAGGAGAAAGCCTGCAGTGACTCCGGCCGGGGGTTATTTCCAGGCCCGCGTCTCCCAGCAACAGCTGAGGTCAAGGAGCTGGTTTGCCAGGGGTCGGGCGCCCGGCCAGACGCGGTGCTGCCCGCGGGGAGTCGGGCTGGGACAGCCACCCCCGGAGGGGACACACGGGCAGCGCGTGTGGCCCCCGCCCTGGGCCCCGCCCCAGGGCACCCGCCGCCCTCCCGCGTCACTCGGGGCAGAAGTCAGGGTCCCCGAGGCAGCGCTGCCCTCGGCGCGTCCTGGCTGGGCGGGCAGTGGGCGGGCGGCCGGGCTGGGCGGGCGGCCGGGCAGTGGGCAGGCGGCCGGGCAGTGGGCGGGCGGCCGGGCTGGGCGGGCAGTGGGCGGGCGGCCGGGCTGGGCGGGCAGTGGGCGGGCGGCCGGGCTGGGCGGGCAGTGGGCAGGAGGCCAGGCGGCCTGGGCAGGCGCGGGAGAGCGGCGCCCTCTGGTGGCCGCGGGCGGCACCGCCTCCGGATGCGCGGGGCGCAGGGCGGGTGATGGGCGGGGCGCGGGGCGGGTGATGGGCGGGACAGCGCGACTCCAAACATAAACCGCACATGAGACAAAGCGCGCGGATCCCGCAGTTCCGAGCAAAGGAGAAGCGACGTTTATTTGCTTATTCGGTTGTGGGGCTTGAACCCGGGCCCGGCGAGTCCCTGAGCGTCTGTGGCTCGAGGCTGGCGCTCTACACGGCACCACTTCCGTTTGTCTGGTGGTTCAGTGGGGAGGAGGCTCAGGTCCTTCCCTGCCCAGGATGGCTTTGAACTGCCATCCTCAGACCTCAGCTGGGTAGGTAGGATGACAAGTCACCCACACCCGGGGCCTGCCCTCTGACCTGCCCCAGCCCCGCCCCCCGCAAGCCACACCCCACACCTGAGGCCTCTCCTGAGCTTCTGCCCATCGCGGAGCCACGCCCCTACATCTGAGGCCTCTCCTCTGCTGAGCTCCCGCCCATCGCGGAGCCCCGCCCACCGCAAGCCACGCCTCTACATCTGAGGCCTCTCCTCCTGAGCTCCCGCCCCTCGCAAGCCACACCCCACACCTGAGGCCTCTCCTCCTCTGAGCTCCCGCCCATCATGGAGCCCCGCCCACTGCAGGCCACGCCCCCACAGCTGAAGCCTCTCCCGCTGAGCTCCCGCCCATCGCACAGCCCCGCCCCCATGCCGGAGGCGTGGCCCCGCGGAGCCCCGCCCCTCCCCGCGGGTCCTCCCGCCCCGCTGATCCACGCTGAGCCTGCAGGCCGGGCCAGCTTCGGTCTGAGGGTTCGAGCTCACAGGCCCCCCAGCAGAATGTGGCTTAGAACTCTTCTGGGGGTGTGTGCGGGCTTGGGGGTTCATGATGCAGTTTCTAGAGCAAAAAGGAACCAACCAGAAATCTGCCAGGGTTTCTGACTGAATTCTCTGTCCCCAACCCCAAAGCTATGGCTTTATGGAGGGGCCTGGCAGAGGGGGGGGAGAGAGAGAGGAGGGCAGAGAAGGGGGAGAGAGGGGGAGAGAGAGGAGGGGAGAGGAGAGACAGAGAGAGGAGAGAGAGGAAGGGGAGGCGGAGAGAGGGGGAGAGGAAGGGGGGAGAGAGAGAGGAGAGACAGAGAGGGGGAGAGAGGGGAGGGGGGCGAGTGACAGAGAGAGACTCCATTCCCATGGAAGTCCTTCATGCCACTGAACCCCACATCAGGTCAGGTGGGGAGCAGGAGGCGAAGGCCACTCACAGGGGAGTTCTCCAGCCAGGAGGCTCCCCATCCCGTCCCTACGGGGGGAGGGGTCCTGGGTGTGGGGCTGCTCCCCTCCCCACACCCCCTAATCCGCCTTCTTGGTTTTCTTCTTCCTGGAGCCCTCGCTCAGCTCCTCCTTGGACCTGGGCAGTGGGGAATGCTGGGGGCCAGGCCCCACCCCGTGGACACCGCCACCACTGTGGGCGGCCCCGTGGTTGTCATGGTGATGGTCGCCACCACCCCAGGAACCCCCAAACAGCACGGGGCAGACGTAGGCCTCCAGGACGTCGAACGGACAGCTGTGCGAGTGAGTGGCTGTGAGGAACACCTGCAGGGCGGAGGTCGAGGGGCCGTGGGAGGGAGAGGAGGGGAGAGGAGAGGGGAGTAGGAGTCACAGAGGTGGCCTGGCCCTGCATGCACCGCAGGACCCCAGCTAACTCCCCAGCTGGCCAGTTCTGGGGTGGTGGACTGGTCCCCACGAGTCCTCCCTATACCTGGTCTAGACCCTGTTGGCAGTGACCAGCTCATTAGGGCCCAGAGGTGGTCTGGGGTGCAGATGCTTTCTAATACACCCAAGGTCCTGGGTTCAATCTCCAGCACCATAAGAAAACCCAAACCCAAACCAAAAAGGGGTAGCTGGGCTGGGTGTGGTAGTTCACGGCTGTAATCCCAGCACATCTGGCACAGGAACCCAGCCCCTCCGACACCAGCACACAATGAGGGTCTGAGAATCAATCCCCCCAGCCAGGAATGCCTGGACAGTCAGTCCTGGAGCTTGAACTCGGGGCCTGGGCGCAGTCCCTGAGCTTTTCTGCTCCAAGCTAGCGCTCTACCCCTTGAGCTACAGCTCTACTTCTGGTGTTCTGCTGGTTGATTGGAGACAAGAGTCTCAGGGGCTTTGCTGCCCGGGCTGGCTTTGAACCTTGAGTCTCTGATCTCAGCCTCCTGAGCGGCTAGAATGACACGCGGCAGCCGCCAGCGCCCGCCTCTTACATTTTTGTTTAGTTTTATTTTTTCTGTCTTTTTTTTTTTTGGTCCTGGGGATGGGACCCAGGACACTGCACTTGCTAGGCAAGTGCTTTGCCACGGAGCTACAGCCCTAGCTAGCTCTCACATTTTTGACAGAGTCTCACTATGTCCACCTAAGGCTGCCTCAAACTCTCCATTCTCTGGTTTGCGCTTCCCCAGGGCTAGGATTCCAGACAGGTGCTACCATACCCGGCAGCTCCCAGCCTTTCCTCCCTCTGGTCTCCGCACCCGAGGCACTGGTCCCTCAGCCTTACGTGGGTGGGGCCCTGCACCTGCAGGCCTCCCCGGAGCCCCCCTGTGCCCCCCCCCAGCCAGGAGGAGGCCCCGGTGGCTTACTTTGCAGGACACCATGAACATGGTGAAGAGGAAGATGAGGCTGGCCTTGGACACGGGCAGCCAGCGCGTCTGCTGCAGGGTGAACAGGATGGCACCGTACAGGCTGGCCTTGGTGGGGCTGTGGGAGCAGACGCAGTGACCAGGACAGTTCCCGGCCGACCCCCCCTCCCGTCCCCCCCCCCCCCTGCCCCAGGCCCAGCTGCAGTAGGACTAGGCAGGTGGGTTAACCTGGGATAACCTGGCCCAAAGAAAGACCTAGCCTGGGCTCAGCTTCCGGAAGTTTCCCTGACGCTCTGACCCGGCCGAGCAGCATGTACCTGGGCCTCCACAGGCACCAGACCCTGGCGGTGTGCCCACGCGTTTGGGTCTGTGGGCAGCCACCAGGACACACAGGTCACTCCGGTGAGCTTGGGTGGAAGTCTGCTCGCCTCTCTGTCTGTCCCTCCGTGCCGGCCCTGGGTTTTGAGTGCGGGCCCGGGGTTTTGAATGCGGGCCCTGGGTTTTGAACGCGGGCCCTGGGTTTTGAGCGCGGGCCCTGGGTTTTGAGCGCGGGCCCGGGGTTTTGAGTGCAGGCGCTGGGTTTTGAGCGCGGGCCCGGGGTGTGGCGCCTTACTTCTTACTTCTCATTCTTTATTTTTTGCTCCATCACTGGAACGGTAGATCCACTCCCAGCTTCTTGTTGGCTCATTAGACACCAAAGTCTCACAGACTTCCCTGCCCTGGCTGGCTTCGAACCACAATCCTCACATCTCAGCTTCCTAAGCAGCAGGGATGACAGGCGCCAGCCACCCTAACACCCGCCATATTGCTTTTCTTACTTGACCAGTGGCAGAGATGTTGGATTCTGTCCAGAAGCTTCTTTTGAACCAAAAGCTCCTACTTACCCGTCAAAACCCAAATCAAATGTGCCCTTCCCCTCTGCAGCTCTCCCTGGCTGAACTGTGGCCTCAGTGTGTGTTTCCCCAGCCAGAGTCTCTGGAAGCGTCTACAAGGCAGTCAGGGGCTGAGGCCCTAACTCAGGGAGGGCTCCTCTGGCACAGGGGGGAGGGGAGGGGGCAGTACTCACAAGGACATGTGCAGAATCTCATTGGTCTCCGGCTTCCACACGCCCCGGAGCAGCTGCTCCACGCTGGACAGGAGGGCGACCCCAGAGCCTGTGCACAGGACAGGGCGGGGAGTGCAGGGCTGAGCTGGGAAAACTATCAGGGCCTTCAGGCGGGTGCTCAGCTGCTGAACCATGCCTCTGGCCCAGGCTTACACCGGCTGCTTTTGAGATGTGGGTCTCCCTTCTTGCTTGGACATGCACCTGTACATCCATCTGCCTAGTCTGTTTTACTTTAATTAATTAATGAATTGTCAGTTGTGGGGCTTGAGCGCTGAGCCTGGGCGCTGTCCCTCAGCTCTTCAGCTCAAGGCGAGTGTTCTACCGCTTGAGCCACAGCGCCACTTCTGGTTTTCTGGTGGTTCATTGGAGATAAGTCTCAGGGACTTTCCCACCCAGGTTGGCTTTGAACTGTGATCCTCAGATCTCAGCCTCCTGAGTAGCTGGGATGACAGGCGTGAGCCACCGGCGCCTGGCTCTTGTCTATTTTTTTTAAGGCTTCTGATCATTGCTGGGATGACAGGCTCCCATCATCAATCACATGGAGATGGAATCCCACAGGCTTTGTTTTTTCTTTTGCTCCAGGCTGGCATAGAACCGTGCTCCTCCCAATCTTGGCTGCCCCTGTGTAGGGTGATACACCACCCAGTCCGGTGACAGGCCATGAAACCTGAGTTGGCCTCAGACCAGAATCCTCCCCTTCTCAGCCTCCTGATCGGCTGGGATCACACAGGGGAGCGGCTGGCACCTGCCCAAGACGATTCCTGGGAGGGGCTGTGCCCGGTCCTGCTCACCTTTGACCCAGCCTGTGGCGATCATGATGAACCAGCCGTGGTGGTAGTGGTGGTGGGCGTGGTGGATACCCACGGCGATCTTGCGGACTCTCACCACCTCCTTCATGGCCACGAAGATGAGCTTCACGGGCAGGAAGCACACACACTTGTAGAACAGGTCCAGCGGGCAGAAGAAAATCAAGTACCTGTGGACAGCGGCAGGCGGGGTGAGGGGGACGCCCAGGCCATCCCGGGGTGGAGGGGGGATGTTCCTGGGGCCGAAGTGGTCGTCCGTCCTCCCCCCCCACATACCAGACGGCAGAGGCCAGCAGCACGCTGGAGTTGTTGCTGAAGTAGTCGATCACCGGCTCTCCCAGGAGCAGGTCGGCCAGGATGTAGCTGCCAAAGCAGTGCAGCATAGCGCAAAGCCAGGAGGCTGCAGGGTGGCGCCGAGACAACTCCACGGCTCCTGGAGGCAGGGGGCGGGAGGTGCCTGGGGTCACCACAGGGCCCACCTGCCCCGCCACAGCCTGGCTACTCAGCTGCGCCCTCCAGCTCAGCACGCCAGCGCTCAGCACGCCGGCGCTCAGCACGCCAGCAGGTGCAGCATTTGTAAGGAAAGAGGAAGTCTTCAAAAGCGCCTGGTCACCTCTGATCCCAGAAGTCTTTTGGCCGCCGGGGGGAAACTGAGGCGGGGGACGCTGTGAGGTGGCTATGCTACCTAACCAGATGCCAGGGTCCCTAGGAGCCCATGGTGGTCCTGTTTCTGCCTTCTTTTTATTTTATGGTCGTTGTAGGACGGACATAGAACTTACTGCTATGGGTAAGTTGTCCGCCCTGGGGCTTGAACTCCTAGCCCTATGTGCTGTCCCTCAGTTTTTCAGCTCAAGGCAAGTGCTCTACCCCTCGAGCCACAGCGCCACTTCCAGTTTTCTGATGGTTTATTGGAGAGAAGAGTCTCATGGACTTTCCTGCCCGGGGTGGCTTTGAACCGCGATCCTCAGATCTCAGCCTGCTGAGTAGCTAGGATGACAGGCTTGAGCCACCAGTGCCTGGCAAAACTGTTGTTTTTAAGAGTTCAAGGATGGGGGCTGGGAAGGTGGCTCAGTGGTAGAGCGCTTGCCTTGCATGCCTGAGGCCCTGGGTTCGATTCCTCAGCACCACATAAGCAAAAAGAAAAAAGCCGGAAGTGGCGCTGTGGCTCAAGTGGTAGAGCGCTCGCCTTGAGCTGAAGAGCTGAGGGACAGCGCCCAGGCCCAGAGTTCAGGCCCCGCGACCGGACCCCAAAAAAAGAAAAGAAAACTTAAGGGACAGCACCCAGGACTGACTGACACATACACACACACAATCACTCACACATATACACCAAAGAAGGGTCACCATAACAAGACCCTAGTCTCAACATGGAAGAATAAAAGCAGGAAGTCCAGTGGTGTCTGAGTAGGTTCATGGGATCACAGGTGCTAGGGATGCGGGATCAGTATCCATTCCCACTCTCATTCTTGTCGCTCCCCACCAATTCGTTTATTTTCTAGTCCTGGGGATGGAACCGGGGCCTGGTACACGCTAGGCTGGCGCTGCCCACCGCCCCCTCCCCTGGTACCATGCATTTTGTCTTCAGAGTCCTAATGCTTACTTATATCCCATTTTTATGTTCATATCACCACCTCCTCTTCATGCTGCACCTGAGCAGGGCCTGGGCTCTCCAGGGCCTAAACTCTGGGCCTGGCGCTGTCCCTCAGCTCTTCAGCTCAAGGCGAGCGCTCTACCACTTGAGCTACAGCGCCACTTCCGGCTTTTTTCTTTTTGCTTATGTGGTGCTGAGGAATCGAACCCAGGGCCTCAGGCATGCAAGGCAAGCGCTCTACCACGGAGCCACCTTCCCAGCCCCTCCTGGGGGGGGTGGTCTTAGAGCAGAATTTTATCAGGCTGATTCCCCGCCTCCCTGAGGCACAAAGCACCACCTGATGATCGTACTGATCGATTACTTCTGCAGAAATCTCAAAGCCTTGGACTCTTGATTTCCAGTGAGCAGGTCTTAAGGCAGTGGGACCTTTAAGAGGCGTGGCTTAGTAAGGCAATCAGCTGATTGGGAGGGACCTTGGCAGAGGCAGGGCTTCAGGAGATGATTAGGTCATTGGGGGTGTGGTCTCGGCAGGGGCGGGGCTTCGGGCACTTGGGGGCGTGGCCCAGGCAGGAACCCGGCTGTCCTCCAGGGTTGGTTGCTAGGAAACATGGGTGAGTGGTGAGGCTCAGAAGCCTGGCAGGGTTCTGGGGTTCCCAGCACCTACAGTATATAAATGAATGAACCAACCCACAAAACCCAGCAAGCCTGCCCGCAAGCCCCGTCTACCCGCTCCACCAGGGCCGCCTTCCTTCTGCACACAGCGCCATTCTTCCCCCATCCACCACCGGATTTGTTTTTGGTGGTAAGCTGGAGATGAGTTTGGTGGAGGTCGGGAAGGTGGCTCAGTGGTAGAGCGCTTGCCTCGCATGCCTGAGGCCCTGGGTTCGATTCTCAGCACCACATAAGCAAAAAGAAAAAAAAGGAGAAGTGGCACTGTGGCTCAAGTGGTAGAGCGCTCGCCTTGAGCTGAAGAGCTGAGGGACAGCGCCCAGGCCCAGAGTTCAGGCCCCACGACCGACAAAAACAAAAATAATTTTAAAAAGGGAGTTTGATGGACTTTCGTGCACCGGCTGGCTTTGAACCAGGATCCTCAGAGTAGCTGGGATGACAGGGTGACAGGCGGGTACCTGGCGGTACCCTCGACGTTTAAAGTTGCTCCTCTCTAGAGTACGTATGTCCTGTCCTGGCTTCTATTTAAAACACGGCTCAGAGGCCGCCGTGCTTTGCAGAAATGGATCCCTGTACACCTAAAAATAACGCCTGGGCTTGAATTCCTTCCTGGGCCTCTGTGTCCTCTGGGATCAGGCCTGGAGCAGGGGTGGGGCGGGCCTGTCAGGCACCTGTGCTGCTGAACCCATGAACACAGGCTCCCCAGCTGGCTCCGCCACTCACACCCATGCCCATCCCCCAGCCTTCTGTGGCAGGCAGCTGGGAATGAGCTCTCCCGTGTGCAGAGGCCTGGGCTCCATCCCCAGCCCCCGCGGGAAGAGAAGAAAGCAGAACGCTGGCTGTGGAATCCATGAATCCTGTAATAGCATCTTTTTTATTTTATTTTTTTTGCCAGCTCTGGGGCTTGAACTCAGGGCCTGATCGCTGTCCCTGAGCTTCATTTACTCAAGCAGCGCTCTACCACTTGAGCCCCAGCGCCATTTCTAGTTGTTTTTGTGTATGTGGTGCTGAGGGATTGAATCCAGGACCTCATGTGTGCAAGGAAAGCGCTTTACCACTGAGCCACCTTCCCGGCCCCACCCTCTTTTTTTGGGGTTGGTGGTGGGGCTTGAACTCAGGGCCTGGGCGCTGTGCTGAGCTGCACAGTCAAGGCAAGCGCTCTACCACTCGAGCCGCAGCGCCGCTTCCTCCCAGCCCCTTTTCTATTCTGTGGAGCTAGGGTCTCACTGTGTAGTCCAGGCTGGACTCTTCATCTGCCTGGCCTCCACTTCCCCAGAGCTGGGCTGACAGGAGCGAGGCATGACCAGGCCTGGCAATACTGGACTTCTGGGTAAGTCCTGGGACCCTGGTTCAATCAGCCCTTGTACGGGGCTCCTTGGAGGAAGAGGGCGCAAACTGCTTGGAGTGTATACGGAAGATGTTTCTGGTAATGGAAGGAAATAGAAAAAGCTGAGGGGCTGGTCGCTGGTGGCTCACACCTGCCAGCCTAGCTACACAGGAGGCTGAGACCTGAGGATGATGGTTCAAAGCCAGCCCAGGCAGCAAAGTCCATTGAGATGCTTAGCTCCCATGGACCACCAGAAAACTGGAAGTGATGCTGTGGCTCAAAGTGGTAAAGCGCTTGCCTCAAGCTGAAGAGCTAAGGGACAGCACCCAGGCCCTGAGTTCAAGCCCCACCACTGACCCCAAAAAAAGAAGAAAAAAAAAAAAAGATAGTGAAGGTAGAAATCTGAGTGAATTTTTATTTGTTTTTGCTAAAGGCTAGCATTCTACCACTTGAGCCACAGCGCCACTTCTGGCTTTTTCTGTGTCTGTGGTGCTGAGGAATGGAACCCAGGGCTTCATGCATGCTAGGCGAGCACTCTACCACTGAACCACCTTCCCAGCCCAGGGGAATGGATTTTTTTACAGGAAGCCTGGGGAGGGAACGCAGGGCCTTACACAGGGCTGGCAAGCACTCTGCCCCTTAGCCCCTGAGTGGATGGAGTTTGGATACCAGGCTGTGTTTGGGGGAGGACAATGCATCTAAACACATGTGCTGTATTGTCTGGATCTCTCAGTGACTGAGATAAGCCTTGTTCTGCAAACTTCTGAACTCAGATGTGCCTCAGTTTCCTCCCTGGAAAATGTAGATCTTAGCCCCAGACTCACAAAGTTGGAGGAGGAGAAGCTCCTATTCCCTCCCCCCTTCCCCCCCCCCTTTCACACACACACACACACACACACACACACACACACACACACACACTCACACACAAAAGGCTTATAACAAGGTCAGAGGCAGGAGTGGTGGTCCAGGCTTGTAATCCCAGCACTTGGGAGGCTGAGGCAGGAAAACAGCAGGTTCGGGTCCGGCCTGGCCTACATAGTGAGATCAAGCCCCACTCCTCAAAGCAGCAGTCTCCAACCAGGGATCAATGAACTGCAGCCATTAGCTGGACCTGGGGGCGTGGCTTTGTGAAAGGGGCGTGGCCTGGGCTTGGGGGTGTGGATCAAGTGTTACACACTAGCCTAAAGGCCTGGAATTCAAACCCCAGTACCCACCTAGGTAACAACAACATGTGTGTGTGTATTTTTGGGTATGTGATGCTCAGAACATTCTAGAACCAAGGTGCAGCTTTTCTGGGAAACAATGGCTTTGGTGGTCCCAGCTCCAACTTGGTGGGTTCTTACCTGGATGTCCTCACCTGACTTGCGGATGGATAAATCTCAGCTGGGGATGGACCCTGTGTCCTCCCCCCACTTCGAGGACCGTTTTGGGGTGTTATAGTGGTGGGCCAGCAGCATCCCTTTGGTGGTGGGGAGGTTGGGAAACAATGGTACAGAGAAATGGGTCTAAATCTGTGACCTTCCAGCCCCGCGGTCAGCCCCCAACCTGCCAGCAACTCTCCGGAACTAAACACGGCCCAGGTCTGATCCTCAGATACCCGCCTCTGGAGTAGCTAGAGTCCAGGTGTGAGCCACTGGTGCCTGGCTACAAAGGGGTCTTTCTGGCTACAGAAGAGTTTTATTGTATTTTATTTTTCTAGTCCTGGGGCTTGAACTCAAGGCTTGGGAGCTGTCCTTGAGCCTCTGTGCTCTACTACTTCTGCCTTTTTCTGGAGATGAGAGTCTCAGGAGCTTTTGTGCCCCAGTTGGTGTGGAATTGCGGTCCTCAGATCTCAGCCTCCTGAGTACCTCGGTGACAGGAGTGAGCCATCGGCTTCCGGCCCGTAAGAATTGTTTTCTTTTTTAAGTTACCCAGGAGAGCCTGGGTGTGGTGGCTCACACCTGAAATCCCTGCTATGTGGAGGCTGAGGTCTGGAGGACTGCAATTTGAAGCCAGCTGGGAACCAACAGCTGGGTGTGTGCGGTAGTCCACACCTGTCACCACTGCTACTCAGGAAGATTAAAGAAGAGGACTGAGCGTGACTCCAGGCATAAACTCCACACCCGGGGCCTCAAAATAAAGGCAACAGTGCTGGGAGGCGTGGCTCCAGTGTCTGAGCGCAGACTTAGCAAAGCACAAGGCCCTGAGTGCAAACCCTTGAACTGCCAAATAAAAACAAGAGCTGGGCGCTGGTGGCTCACGCCTGTCATCCCAGCTACTCAGGAGGCTGAGATCTAAGGATCACGGTTCAAAGCCAGCCCCTGCTCAACCAATCGAAAACCGAAGTGGCGCTGTGCCTCAAGTTGCAGGGCACTAACTCTGAGCGCAGAGAGGGGGCAGAGAGGAGAGGTGAGAGGCAGGCCCTGGGGTGCGTTGCGCAGCTCCCACACTGCACCGTGTCTCCCCACACGCCAGCATGGCCGGCCGTGCTCCTTGGAGCTCCTGTAATCCCAGCGCCAGGAAGGCGAAGGCAGGAGAACCCAGACTTTTCCAGAATAAGTTCAAGACCAGCTGAGCTACCTGTAAGGCCTAATCCCAACCTCTGTCCCCACCCCCCACCCCAAGAAAAACAAGCTCCTAGAAGCATCTAGTATGTGCAAGTCGGGGCTGAGAACCTGGACATTCAAATGTCAACTTTATGGAACCTTCTGGCACTTCTGGAGGTTCCCGCGTGGGCCTGGATTCTTGCCCCGGGGGGGCTGCTGCTCCTGGCTGTGAACGTCCCGGGCTCTCCACACACCCTGAAGGCCAGGGCTCCCTGGAAGCCGTCTTGGAAGGCCGGCGCGCTCGGGCACGTTACGGGCAAAAATAGCAGGGCTGAGCTGGTGAAGGGCAGATTCCCGCACCAGGCGGGCACAGCGGGGCACGGCCTGCAGCTGACCGGTTCCCTTCCTCCCGCTCCCCGCAGCTGACTGGTTCCCTTCCTCCCGCTCCCCGCAGCTGACTGGTTCCCTTCCTCCCGCTCCCCGCTTAGTAGGAGCCGCTGTTTTTTACCACCTGAAAAAATGATAACGCTATCTCCATTCTGGGGGGGGGGGTGCTTCCCTTCTGGGGGTGCTTCCCTTCTGGGGGTGCTTCCCTTCTGGGGGTGCTTTCTATCTATCCAAGCGGGAGGCAGGGCTGCACGGTTCCAGCCACTGACTTCTCCTCCTCCTCCTCCTTCCTTTCCCTCAAGCTGCCACCAAACCGGCTGGCGACTCGAAGAGAGTCGCCGGAGACGGAGGGAAGCTCCGTGGCGGTGTCGCCCTCGGGGGCGAGCTCTGGGCGAGCACAGGGTAAGGGAAGGAGTAGGTGCCGCCGGGCCGCCCGCGGGGCGCAGGCGCGGGCCAGGGCAGGGCGGGGGTCCGGGTGACCCGGGGGCTCGGGTGTCACCCCCCCCGCCCGGCGCGGCGCGCCTTCCTTATATAGACAGCGGCCGCCGCCGCCCCGCGCCCGCCAAGGGCGGCCAGGGGAGGTCAAGGCGGCCGGGACCCCAGCCCGCGCCGCACCCGGGCCGCCCCGCCGCCCTCCACACCCCGGCCCCCGGCCCGGGACCCCGCGAGCCCCACGACCGGCCTCGCGCCCCCGGCCCGCGCCGCGCGGGGCGCCCCGCACGTCCCGCCGCCCCGCTCACGCCGCCCGCGGCGCCCCGCACGCCCCAATCATTCCGCCCCCGGCGCCCCGCACGCGCGCTCACTCCGCCCCCGGCGCCCCGCACGCGCGCTCACTCCGCCCCCGGCGCCCCGCACGCCCCGCTCACTCGGCCCCCGGCGCCCCGCACACGCGCTCACTCCGCCCCCGGCGCCCCGCACGCCCCGCTCACTCGGCCCCCGGCGCCCCGCACGCGCGCTCACTCCGCCCCCGGCGCCCCGCACGCGCGCGCCGCGGCGCAGGCCCCCGCTCACCTGGCTCGTACTTGAGGTAGAGGATGGAGACGATGAAGTAGCTGAGGTCGAAGACCGGGAAGAGCGGCACCCGCGAGAAGCTGAGCGCCAGCTCGCCCAGGCTCAGCGCCGACAGCAGCTCCATGCCGCCGAGACCGCGGGCCCGGCCCCGCGCCCCACACTGCGCCCCGCCGGGGCCGCCCCGCGCCAGCGCCGCCCCGGCCCGGCCCCGGAGCGGGGCGGGGAGCCCGGGAGGAGGGGCCTGGAGCCCGGGAGGAGGGCCCGGACACCCCGGGAGGAGGGCCCGGACACCCCGGGAGGAGGGCCCGGACACCCCGGGAGGAGGGGCCTAGGAACCCCGGGAGGAGGGGCCGGGCACCCCGGGAGGAGGGGCCTAGGAACCCCGGGAGGAGGGGCCGGGCACCCCGGGAGGAGGGGCCTGACACCCCGGGAGGAGGGCCCGGACACCCCGGGAGGAGGGGCCTGGAGCCCGGGAGAGGGGCCGGGTCTCCCCGGGCGGGCTGGGGAAGGCCCGGCCGCGGAGCAGGTGCCCGACGCTCCCGGCCCCGCCCTCTGCCCATCACGGCCCCACCCAGCCTCCCCTCGCCTTTCCCGCCCTCCGGGAGCAGGTGGACAGGAGGCTGCCCATCCCGCAGGCCTGTCCCCACAGGACCGTCCCCGCACTGCGGGTCCGCTGGGTGCCGTCCCGGGGGCCTCGATGAACACCGCTGGCCTCTGGGGCCGAAGCAGGGCCCAGAGGCGCCGTGCGGCGGTCGGCGTCCCGGCTCCCGCGGGGACCCCGCAGTGCCCGCGCGGCCAGGGCCGCCCTCCAGGGGAGCCCCTTTTGGGGATCTACTGAGTTGGAACATGTGTCGGGGAGGCCACGCGGGGACCGGAGGACCCCGCCGCCTCCCCGCAGCTCAGGGGCCGAGGACCCCCGGCACCATCCCCCAAACTGGACCAGGTCGGCAGGCCTCGCGCAGGCGCAGTCCGCTCCGAACGCGTGACCCACTTCCAGGGCCACAGATGCTCCACCCCTTCTCTACGTCACTTTATGTCCCCGCCCCACTTTCCCAGAAGCACCGCCTCCTCAACGGGGAGCGGCGCGCGCACTCCCCTGAGGTAGTCCGGCCTGAAGAGGGCGGGACCCTGAATAACTAAGCTTTCGATTGGTGCAGCCTTCGCAAGAGGTGCCCCATGATTGGTCGACTCTTGCTCCTCTCCCCGCCTTTCCTCAGTACTTCCGCTTCCGGTTCGGACGGACGCCACGGCAGTAAAGATGATCGGGGACATCCTGCTGTTCGGGTAATTAGTGGGGGGACCGGAGAGTGGGAACGAGAGCCCTATGGGCTGGGAGGCGTCTGATAAACGCGTTCTCCTCCCGCAGGACTCTGCTGATGAATGCGGGGGCCGTGCTGAACTTTAAACTGTGAGTAGGCCGCGTTGGGTTGCGGCGCCACCAAAGAGCGCGCAGGCCCGCCCCCTCCGGCCCCGCCCCGCCCTGCCGGCCCCGCCCCGCCGGCCCCGCCCCGCCCCGCCGGCCCCGCCCCGCCGGCCCCGCCCCTCCGCGTCTCCCTCCCGCCCCGCCCCCTCCGCGTTTCCCTCCCGCCCCCTCCGGGCCCGCCCCGCCCTACCGGCCCCGCCCCGCCCCGCCGGTCCCGCCCCTCCGGGCCCGCCCCGCCCCTCCGGGCCCGCCCCGCCCCGCCGGCCCCGCCCCTCCGCGTCTCCCTCCCGCCCCGCCCCCTCCGCGTCTCCCTCCGGCCCCGCCCCCGCCCCCGGCCCCGCCCCCCGCGTCTCCCTCCGGCCCCGCCCCCGGCCCCGCCCCAGTCCCCCGCGTCTCCCTCCGGCCCCGCCCCCGGCCCCGCCCCCCGCGTCTCCCTCCGGCCCCGCCCCGCCCCGTTCTCCTCACTTGACCTTGTGGGCAGCCTGGGCTGGTGAATCTGGGCCAGACGTCCTGATCTCCCCTCCCCCGTGCCGAGAGCCTCAGGTTCATTCCCCTCCCCCTCCCAAGAAGCAGCCCCCGAAGTCGGCGTTGGAGGAGGACCTCGTTCACCCCTGTGGCTTCAGGCCTGCTTGGACACTAGCTGGACAGCTGTCCAGAGAGGGACAGTCCACGCCCCACAGTTACACAGCAGTGGAGCTGAGCAGTACCCACAGCTTCTGAGCGGCCCTAGGCCCCATGAAAGCTGGACATTGTTGCTTGTCTTTGTAGGAAAAAGAAGGATACGCAAGGTTTTGGGGAGGAGTCGAAGGAGCCGAGCACAGGTAAGGTTTTCTTCCCGGACCCTGGACTTGTACAGTCTACATCAAAGGGCACACTTCTTTCCCCCCACGTCATCCCCACATTTTCCTTTTTCTTTCTTGTGCCCATCCTGGGGCTTGAACTCAGGGCTTGGGTGCTGTCCTGAGTTTCTTGTATGTCAGGCTAGCACTCTACCCCTTAGCCACAGCTCCACTTAGAGCTTTATTTTGGGTGGGAGGGGGAGGTAGCTTATTGGAGGTAAGTCCCACAGACATTTTTGCCCAGGCTGGGTTTGAACTGTGATCCTCAGATCTCAAACCTTTTTTTGTTGCTTTGTTGTTGTTGGTTGTGGGGCTTGAACTCAGGGCTCGGGTGTTGTCCCTGAGCTTCCTTTGCTCAAGGCTAGCACTCTACCACTTGAGCCACAATGAACGCCACTTTTGGCTTTTTCTGTGTATGTGGTTCTGATGAACCGAACCCAGGGTTTCATGCATGCAGGTCAAGAATTCTACCACGGAGCCACCTTTCCAGCCTGCCTAGCTTTTTCATTGATTGAGATGGGAGTCTCACAAACTTTTTTTGCCCAGAGTGGTCTCGAACCACATGCTTTCAATCTTCTCCTGAATGGGTAGAATTAGGCATGAGAGCCTTGTGCTGGAATTCACTGTTTAGGCCAAGCTGGTCTCAAACTTGAGATCCTCTTACCTTAGGCTGCCGGGTGGGGGGACTGCAGGTGTGTGTCACCACACGGCCATCTTTGGGGGAATTTGGTTTTGGTGCTATTGGGGATTGAACTCCCCCAGCTCTGGAGATGGAGCTCTAAATCAGTTGGTGGGTGATCTGGCCATGCACTTCTGTGTGCTCATTCAGGCGGATCTGCCCATTGGTCACAGCTCTTGGAACAGACTGTAGTGATCTTCTGGATTTTAATCTCCCGTTAGCTGGGATGACAGGCGTGTCTAACCATGCTCAGCTGGTTGTTGAGAATGGAGCTTGTCAGCTTTTCTGTGACAGCTGGCCTTAAACCTAGATCCTCCTGCTCTCAGCCTTCCAAGCACCATAATAGGTGTGACTGCCATGTTGGCTTCTCTCTGGCCTGTTTTTTTTTTTTTTTCCTGTTGGTCATAGGGCTTTGACTCAGGGCCTGGGCACTGGGTCCTGTCCCTGAGTTTTAGTTCTCAAGGCGAGCGCTCTATTGCTTTGAGCCAAAGTTCCACTTCTAGTCTGGTGCTTTATTAGAAATAAGAGTGTCTTGGACTTTTCTGCCTGGGCTGGCTTTGAACAATGATCCTTAGATCTCAGCCTCCTGAGTAGCTACGATTATAGGCGTGAGCCACTGGTGACCAGCTTCTCTGGCCTCTTAATATACTGGATTATCCACCCCCCCCCCCCCAAGTGGGGCTTAGATCCTGACATCAGAGGAGACCAGACGGAATTATCATCAAAGCATGCTTTCTGCTTGAATTGCTCGAACTAGAGATGCTTTTTTTTTGCCTGGGGGGGGGCGGCGGGAGGGAGGGCAGTTGTGGGGGTAGGGGTGTGTGACATGGATGTTGTGGCTGAATCCTAGGCTCTGTGTGTGCTAAGTAAGTTAGGATTCTACCACTGAGCTACAACTTAAGCCAAGAGTGACTGTTTTCCCATGTTTGGGGTTAAAGTCCCTGGACAGACTCTCATTGGACAGACTTAAATCACATGCTCTTTTCTGAGCCAATCAGAGGCTGCAGAGCCTGGTATTGTTAGGGGATTGGTCGGTGGCCGGTCCAGTGGGGAGGGCAGAAATCACAGTAGCTGCAGTGGCTGTGGTGGGCTGGTGACCTTTGTAATGGAGAAGTGGTTTTTGGCTTTCCAGGCGACAACATCCGGGAGTTCCTGCTGAGCCTCCGATACTTCCGGATCTTCATCGCCCTGTGGAACGTGTTCATGATGTTCTGCATGATCGTGTACGTGGGTCCCTCGCTCGGCCCTCTTTCAGACCAGCCCCTGCTGGTCATCCTCTATCCTGCCGAGTGCACTTGGGAGCTCTTGCTTTCTGCTTCCATTAAAAACTCTCCAAGCTAGTGGGGAGCCTGGGGTGGAGGTGGAGCACGAAACCACGCGGCAGTGCCCAGCCCCGCCCCGCGCCCAGGCCTCTCCCTTCTCCCACCTCTGTGCTCAGCCGGTACCTATGTTCAGTCAGGTGGGAAGGTGGGGTAGTGGCCTGCTAGCTGCTGGCTCCTGCCTGCAGCCACGCCAGGAGGTGGCAGATCTGTTTCTGTGTTTATGCCTCCTTCATGTTCTCACGAGGCTAAAAAATGCCCAGGTGGTTGCTTTACCACTGGAGCCACGCCATTGGCCCTGCTTTTTGCCGGTTAATTGGAGATGATGTCTGAGGCTTCTGCCTTGGCTGGCTTTCAACCTCCTCCAGGTCGCAGCGCCTCAGAAACTAGGATTACAGGCGTGACCCACCGGCAGCGGGCTAGTTTTGCTGCAGTTTGAGTTTTTATAGCTGGCATGAGATCGGGGGCCAGCTTCATTTCTTTGCAGGTGGAGATTCAGTTGTTCCTGAAGCTGTGTTCTTTTTTGTGTGTGTGCTGGTCTAGGGGCTTGAACTCAGGGCCAAGGCTCTGTCCCTGTACTATCGCTGATGGCAAGCGCTCTGCTGCTTGAGCCACAGCACCACTTCTGGTTTTCTGGTGGTGAATTGGAGATCAGAGCCTCAGACTTTCTTGCCCTGACTGGCCTTGAACTGCGATCCTCAGATCTCAGCCTCTTTGAGTGGCTAGGATGACAGGTGTGAGCCACCAGTGCCGGGCCACATTTCTTTTTTCTTTCGGAGTAAGTTTAGATTTATGGGAATGTTACAGAGATGATTCAGGAAGTTCCCATTTTGGGGGGAGGGGTCACTGCTGGGGTCTCACACTTAGGGCTTCCTGTGTTGTGACTCCATACTGTCTCCAGACAGC